TTTCATATAATAAGGGCTTGGTGATGATGAACTCCTTGAATTTGATCTTATCTGAGAAGCACCTTATCTGTCCTTCCATTCTAAATGAAAGTTTTGCTGGATAGAGCAATCTTGGTTGTAGGTCTTTAGATTTCATGACTTGGAATATTTCTTTCCAGCCCCTTCTTGCCTGTAAGGTCTCTTTTGAGAAATCAGCTGACAGTTTGATGGGAACTCCTTTGTACATGACTGTCCCCTTAGCTCTTGCTGCTTCTAGGATTCTCTCCTTCATTTTAATTTTGGCTAATGTAATTATGATATGCCTTGGTGTGTTTCTTCTTGAGTCCAACTTTTTTGGTACTCTCTGAGCTTCTTGGATTTCTTGAAAGTCTATTTCCTTTGCCAGATTGGGGAAATTTTCTTTTATTATTTGTTCAAATAATTTTTCCACTGGTGGTTGTGTCTTTCCCCCTTCTGGTACCCCTATAATTCGGATATTGGAGCGTTTAAAGATGTCCTGGAGGTTCCTAAGACTCTCCTCATTTCTTTGAATTCTTGCTCCTTGACTCTTTTCTGTTTGGCCATTATTTGCTTTCTTCTGGGCCACTTCATTGAATTGAGTCCCAGTTTCCTTTTCATCTCTATGGGTTTCCTGTGGAATTCCATTCATTTCCCTTAGTTTAGCCTTCATATGTTTCTCTAATTTGTGGCTATAATCAACCAGATCTGTTAGGAACCTGATGACCAGTGTTTTAAACTGTGCATCTGAGAGTTTTGCTATTTCTTCGTCGCTTAGATTTATCTCTGGGGCTCTGAGGTCTTTCTGCGACATTTTTGGTCTGTTCTGGCCCTTTAAGCGGGAGAAGCGGCGCCTTGGACTCCCAGGTTGCTGGGTTGTGACGCTGTATGTGGGGGCGTGGTCAGAGCGGGGATATGGCGGCGCCCTCTACTGCCGCAAGCCACGGGGACCACCGGGCCCGGTCCAAGCGCCCACTCCCTCGCCTGTCCGCTCGCCCACAGATAGGCAACCGCAGTCAACACGCAGCCCTGCCTCCCCACTGTCTCCTCAGCAGTCGCTCACCTGGTGGGTTGCTAGGTCCAATCCTGGGTCCAATCCTGGGTTTGGAACCCGTGCGTCTGGATTTGCGCGTCTGGATTCCGCGCCTGGGTCCGTCCGACTGGAGTCCTGTGCAACCCCTCACAAGACGCCGGTTTCGCCCCTTACCGATCGGGCTGAAGAATTTGTTGTTACCGGACTTCCAAAAAGTTCAATTTTCCGTGTTCTGGTTGTGTTTTCTGATGCTCTTATTTAGTTGTCCCTAAACTTGGTTGTGTGAGACGGTACGGCACATCCATCTATACCTCCATCTTGGCGGAAGTCCTTTAGTTTTATTTTTTGACTTTATATTCAAAATGTGCCCCTGGTTCCCCCAAGAGGGGACGATTGACCCGCAGTGTTGGAACCGGGTCGGAGATTGCCTTAATGACTATTATCGAGTCTCTGGCCCCGAGACCGTCCCTATCACCGCCTTCAGTTATTTTAATCTTATTAAAGAAATCTTAGTCACTCATGGGCATTCTCCGGATGTCCAGAGCCTCTGTAAAGAGGGACAAGAAGTTCTAAAAAATCAATCCTGGTCCCCCCTCGAGGGCCCCTTCAGCCCAAAATCTCTGTAAAGAGGGACAAGAAATTTCAAAAAATCAATCTCGGCCCCCTTCGAGGGCCCCCTCAATTTGCCCCTCAATTTCTATTAACGTAGAGGAAGAGATTAAAAAAACCCTAACCCTTCCCGTAATTCCTCAAATAACCATGTCGACCAATTAAACCCAGCAGAAGAGGCCGAACTCGAAAAAGAGGCAGCTTCTTACAATAACCTTGACTGGCCTCCTCTCTCTTCTGCCCCCTTACTTAAAGATCTCCGAGCTTTTCGGCCGCCCCCCTATGCACCCTCAAACCTACCGCCCACGGCCACCCATATTCTGGTCCCCATTCTAAACAACCCCGAGCCACCAACAATCCACCAAAAACCCCTTCTCCAAAAAACCTCCATTCAAGAAGCCTTAATTCTCATTCGAGAAATCAAGGCCGTGGCTAAAAAATTCACTGATTTAACCATATCCACCCCCCACTGAATTACTAGCTTTCCCCAAACTGCGGGGAGTAGACCTAGATACCCAGACTGCTGACATTTTAATAGCCACACATCAAGCTCTTAACATATCTAACCCTCACCTAGCCGAGGATTGCTGGTTATGTATGAGCCTAGGCACCCCCATGCCTTTAGCTATTCCTGTCAATATATCCACCCTTAATGAATCACAGCTACAATGTAACCCTAGTTTACCTTTTAGAGTCCAACCTACAATATTTCCACCCTCCCCGTGCTTACAAGGCATAGCTCAAAATAATAGCTTCGACATTCCCGTCGGCTTTGTAGGGTTTACTAGTTGTAGAAGCATAACCAATTATAGTAACCCCCTTTGCCCAGGTCATGGACAAATTCTCGTTTGTGGAAATAACCTGGCCTTTTCAGCCTTGCCCGCTAACTGGACCGGGCTATGTGTCTTGGCTACCTTACTACCAGATATAGATGTTCTCCCCGGAGACGAGCCTGTCCCCATTCCCAGCTTAGACCATATTGCGGGGCGACAAAAAAGAGCATTAACATTCATACCCTTATTAGTTGGATTAGGTGTCTCTGGAGCAGTTGCCACAGGGACTGCAGGATTGGGAGTCGCAGTCCATTCATACACAAAGCTCTCTAAACAACTAATTGATGATGTCCAGGCTCTGTCCAGTACCATTAGTGACATCCAAGACCAAGTAGACTCCCTAGCAGAAGCTGTCCTTCAAAACAGACGAGGTCTAGATTTACTTACTGCAGAACAGGGAGGTATCTGTTTGGCTTTACAGGAACACTGCTGCTTCTATGCCAACACATCAGGCATCGTCTGAGACAAGATAAAACAGTTACAAGAAGACTTAGAAAAAAGAAGAAAAGAACTTTCCGAACACCCCCTTTGGAGTGGACTCAACGGAATTCTCCCCTACCTCTTTCCCCTCTTAGGACCTTTAGTTTCTATCACCCTCATCCTCTCCTTTGCCCCCTGGATTCTTAGACGTATAACCAACTTAGTCAAAGACCAACTTAACAGTGTGCTAGGAAGACCTATTCAGGTGCACTATCAACAATTAGAAATGCTGAAACATGGAGCGGACTCTGAGCCGTACAGCCGCTGGGGTGCTAGCCCACGATTCCTGCCAGGTTCCCCTCCTGCAGGAGCAGCATAACCCTCAAAGGTATGCTTCACAGCCAAGTAGCTGTGATAGACACCGCTGGGTGCAAGGCAAAGCACTGCAAGGAGAGGCCTGTACATACGGCCACTTCGAGTCTCCTGAGAGGTAAGCTGACTTGCAAAGAGGTTGGTACCCAACTCCTCTCCTCCCAAAAGGTACCCTAAAGCTCAGAATGAGCCCAGGAGGAGTCAGGCCTCTGCCTCCCCCAGCCGGTTAAAGTCTACCCTACCTACATTCTCCTCGCCCTCAAAGTAATAAAAAGGGGAGGAGATGTTGGGAACCTTACCCCTGGCTTCTAGCTAAAAACATTGCATTGATTACAGGAACCTGTGCGCTCCACGAGCCAATCGGCTACAGGTACATGAGGCGTGCATGCGCTCCACAAGCCAATCAGCTACAGGCACATGAGGTGTCCACGAGTTCCAGTTGCACCCAAGTAATCAATAAGCGGGCCCTTCTTTGTCTCAAGCTAGCCAATAGCAAGCAACCTAATCTCCTTCCTCTCCCTCCCCCTGTATATATATACCCAGTTCAGGAAAAATAAAGTTTGCAGCTTGATCAGAATCTTTTGTCTTGCTGCCATTCTTAGCGCCTCTTGTCCCTCCCAACACATTTGTTCTAGGTAGGTGGTCGAGCCCCAGTTGATTGCTCCGTGGGCCGGAGCAGACCCCCACATCTGCCACGGATAAGAATAAGTCTACCAAGCCCTGGCTGGTGTAGCTGAGTGGATTGAGTGTGGGCCTGCGAACCAGACATTCACGGTTCGATTCCCAGTCAGGGCACATGCCTGGGTTGCAGGCCAATTCCCAGCTGGGGACTCATGAGACGCAACCACACTGATGTTTCTCTCCTTGTCTTCCTCTCTAAAGATGAATAAATAAATCTTCAAAAAAAATTAAAGACTTCTTAAAAAAAAAAGAGAGAGATGAAGGTAGAGTGATGGAGAAGGGCATCCTAATTGTACAGGGTGGTGGTGAATTTGCATTTTATTCTAAGCGTCCAGGGGAACCATTGGTTGGGTGTGGGGAAGTTAAGCTGGTGAGTGAGGTGATCTGGTTTTCAGTTTTGGAAGATCACTCCAGTGACTGTAAGGAGAATGGATAATGAGGGTGAGGGTGGGGCAGGAGTGAAGCTGGGAAACCAGTGTGGAGGTGGCAGCTGTCTCCCAGGGGAGAGACGATAGCCCCAAGGTTGAGTCCAGACCAGGACAGTACATGCGGGCCTCCCTGTGCCCCTCTGCTGGCTGGTGCTGAAAGTGCCTTTAACTAAGGGAAGTCTGGAGTCTTCTGGGCCCTGGTTTTGGGGGAGTGGCCTTGGGGGAGACTCCAGGAGGTGGGAAATTCCCCTCAAAGTATTGGGTGGACAGGTAAGGTGCATTCCCAGGGACATGTACTGGGCTGAGCCTAGCCTCTCCTCTCCTGTCCCTGGGGGCCATCCACACCAGCTTTCTCAGCCCTGTGATAGGTCAGCCCTTTCCCAGACTGAGCCATATAGCTGTTAGGAGGCATGTGGAGAGGAAGGGGAGGGGTAGATGTCAGTGCAGGAGGGCTAGACACCTCACTTATGACAGCCCTCCGCTGAGGTAAGGCCCCAGCACCTAGGTTTGCCTCTGACTGTCCCCACCCCCACCTGGGACCTCAGTGGCTAGGCCATAGGGGTGGGGGTGGGGAGTCGGGGTGTGTCTCCCTGAGGGCAGGGTGTGGCCAGTGGTCTAACCCTCAGTCCCTGATGGCCAGCCTGCCCTGACAGGGGAGTTAACCCGGATTCTCAGCAGCAGGCTAGCGAGAGCGCTGGGGGGTGGACCCCCAGCTGCGGCTCAGAGCCGCAGGGGAGGTGCTGCAGCTCCCGGGCTTTCAGCGCTCGTGGCCCCTCCCGGTTGCACTTCCTCTCGCAGCCCGGCCGCAGCCCCGGCTCCACAATCCCGGAGCACGCAGCCCGCGGCCTGGGCACGCCCTAGCTCACAGGGGCAACGTAAGTTGGGGGCAATTCAGGGACGTCTGAGGTGCCGGGTCCCCAAGCCTGAGTGATGGGGGCGGGTTCTCCGAATGGGCTTCTTGCTCCTTCCTTCCCAGCCAGGTGGGGCTCCAGTGGGGACAGGGTGGGGACCAGGGCTGGACAGACAGCTGTTATTGCTGAGGTTTGGGAGTGGTGGTCTGTGTGGGGCAACCAGGGAGGCAGAAGGCGTGGTGGTGGGGGCATAAGGCAGGCTAAATGGTGTCTGTCCCCAGAAAGATGCCAAGGGTGGGCAGAAAGATGGTGAGTCAAAACTGCATGTCCAAGCCTTCAGCGAGGTCCCAGCCTCCCCTGCTCCCATGGGGAAGTTCCCCAGGAGCTGCGGCTCCTGGCCTGGACAGAGTGGTTCCCCACCATCCCACCATCCCACTCTCTGCACTCCCCTATCTTCTCTTCCTGTTCTGTGCTCTGTGTGCTCCCCGCCCCACTTTTTCACCCTGTTGTCTCGCCACCCATCCCTGACTCCTTTTTTCCTTCCAACCCTCCCCATTGTAGCTTACCCCTTGCCTTGCAGCGGAGGCTGTGGTTTAGTTCTCTGGGGAGCATGTGATGGTATTGTCAGCTGAGCTCCCAGAGCTGGCACAGGGCCTGTGGGGGGCCTGCCTGTCACAGGGAGCTTGGGCAGCCATCTGGGGGTCTCCTTCTCCACTCTGCAGCCCCTAGAGACCCTAAGGCACAGGAAGGTGGCATTCAGTGCCTTCAGAGATGAGTCATACCAAGAACATAGGTGGGCCCAAAAGATTTTGAGAACTGAAGAGGAACTTCATGGTAGGGTAAGGTAGATTTAGACCAGGTTCTGCCAACAGGTAGTGACCCTGGGAAGTTACTTCCCCTTTCTGAGCTTTAGTTGCCCTGGCAGCAAAATGAGGGGTTTGATAGACCAGTGGTTTTCCAACGGATTTCCCCAGAGTGCCCCTTCCGTGGTAAGAGATTGAGTGACCTGCCCCCACCGTACAACTGCACTTTTATCTGCCACTGTGCAAACTGTCATGTGGAGGAAGGGTTTGTGCTGTCAATGCAAACATTTGTTACCCCTGACGAGGGCCTGTGGCCTCTCAATATCAGGAAGTCCTGGTGGGAAAGTCAGGGACACTCAGGGCCCCTTCCTGTGGGACAACGTCAAAGAGGCAGGTCTATTGAGCCCCTTTTCCCACCCTGTTCCAGGACACTGTGCCATCTTCAGGCCAGACCCTCCCTTCCTCTCCTCAACCTTGGCCTTCCTCCTCCTTCCACTCCCCACCCCATTGGGCGGTGCTCCACACAGGGGGTGGGCCTAATTGTACTCACTTTTAAAGCTCTCTTTCTTCAGCCCCGGCCAGACCTGCTATCCCTACCTGGGTCTGGGAGGAAGGAGTGGTCTCTGGTGTCTCTGTCCTTGGAGGTTCCAGCTGGTCAGAGAAGCCTCTACACGTCAGGATGACCACGCCCTCCAGCCCTCCTGCCTTCAGGCTGGAGACATCCGATGTAGATGAAGAAGATGGTGCTGATGTGGACAAGAGAAAGCCAGGCAGTGGACGTGTCCGACCCCCCATGGAGTCACCATTCCAGGGCGAGGACCGGAACTTCGCCCCTCAGATCAGAGTGAACCTCAACTACCAAAGGTGAGCAGGTGCCAGGTAAGACAGCAAACAGCGGTGCAGCCAGGGGTGGTCCCTCAATTCCAGCACAGGTGCTGACTTGGTGCTCCTTCCCCACAGCCTGCATGGTCCTGTCTGGCTCTGCTGGCTCTTGGGCCCTACAGGCTGGACTCTGCTCTGCTGTCTGGGGTTGCTCCTCCCAGAACCTTCCTTATTCTTGGCTTTCTGCCTTCTGGATCTCTGCCTTCTGAGGTCCTGGTCTTTTTCATAGGGACATACCCTACAAGCTCCAATTACTTCATTGACCCTTGTATCCCCCGGTTTATGGCCTGGCCCCCACCCTGTCATGGTTCCTGTGACAAATGGTAGCAGGATCCACGCTCCAGTTCAAGGAGAGAGGCAAGGACATGTGAAGACGTCCCAGGAACTCCTGGGTTCTACTGTAAGACCGAACCTGTCTTCTAGGGGATGTGGCCTCTGGGGACTGTGGATGGTAGGCTTCTGCCAGGAGTCATCTTCACTTTGATTTTCCTGTGATCTCTGCCATCTCAGACAGAGTGAGCCCCCTCTTGCTGGGAGTGACACTTCCAGCCCTTTCCGGGGGGGGGGTGCACTTAGCACCCCTCCTCCTCCAGTGTGAGATATGACCAGGAAAATCCTCATGGTCCAGGTGGGACTGTGCCAAGCAAGCCACTTTCTTTCTCCTCATGACTGGGATGTGGCCACCAGCCATGGCCACATGGGAGTGACACTCCCAGCCCAGCACCCCCATATCATTTGTGCTGGAGGACAAACTAGCAGACGTTCAGACTATGAGGCGGGTTCAGACCACAGCAGGAGAAGATGCGTGCGAGGCTTTGAGGAGCTGGGTAGCCTGCCCAACAGGCAGAATGGGCCCTTTGATGCCTTTTGGTGTCCCAATCTGTGCCCTTGTGGGGCTTTCCTACCCCAAGACTGTGATGTCATCCTGAGAAAGGAAATACTAATAGACACTTCTGCTGGCTGGACTCCCCACTGGGCTCCCTAGTCAGCTGCAGAGCACTCTTGGTCATACTGTGGCCACATGGTCTCCTGGGCAGATGGTGGTGGATCTGGCCAGGCCAGGCAGATATGCAGCTTCCTGGTGTGGAGGAGGCAGGGTGTGGCCTCCGGTCATGTGCATATGGCTTAAAACCCAACTGATCTCAGCACTCCTCTCACTCATCAGAGTCGACAGTCCTTACTGGATTGGCTCATTCTACAGGAGTTGTGAAGCCAGGATCTGAGGGTCCCCAAAATGTCAAATAGTCCCTGCTGTCTCTCTCTTTGTATCTGCTGGTCATGGTGTGAAGGACCCAGGGATGAGCTTGTCTCTGTGAATAGAGACATGCTCAGGAAGGGGTATCCCTTCCCCTTCCCTGTCACCAGGCACTGATAGATTCTAAAGAATTGTAAGGCCTGTTCTGGGCTTTTCCTGGAAATATGGCTTCTCAGCAAAAGTCCAGTGAACATCTGATAGGTTTCAGTGCTGGGCCCACATGTCTCTGAGAAACTCTGTCTGCCTGGTCTAGAGTCTCTCTGGGGTCAGTGTCAGGGTGTGGAGTTAGTGAGATGCCCCAGGACTTTGGAGAAGCTGCTTTATTTCCTTGCTTGTCTAAAAGAGAAAGTAGTGATTCCTGACCCTGGGGCCAAAGTGAGGGTTAAAGGTGCACATACTCCATTATCAATCCATAAATCACTTCTGAGAGGATGAGGGGTTTTTCTTGATTCCTTGTGGAGACCAGTGTGTGTGTGGGGGGGGGCTCTCCCTGCAGGACCCCCACATCTGCCACGGATAAGAATAAATCTACCAAGCCCTGGCTGGTGTAGCTCAGTGGATTGAGTGCGGGCCTGTGAACCAGACATTCACGGTTTGATTCCCAGTCAGGGCAGATACCTGGGTTGCAGGCCAGTTCCCTGTAGGCCAGTTCCCAGCAGGGGACACACGAAAGGCAACCATACGTTCATGTTTCTCTCCCTCTCTCCTTCCTTTCCCCTCTAACGATAAATAAATAAAATTAAAAAAAAAAAAAAGAATAAGTCTACCAAGACATGATCTGCTTGGGGAGGAAAGGTGGCCAATCTCTCAAAGGAAAAGGGCCAGGAGCCTTTTCCTCAGTAGGCTTTTATTGGGTTCAATTTGCACAGGAATGGAGGTAAATCTCATCGATCATTGTCAGGCAGTAAGGATCAAACAATACATAACATTCAAAGAACTATGAGGGCTTATTCTGAGTCAGGGTCAGATAGTTAAAGGGCCATAAAACTTTGGGGAAACAAATTCATTTCAGTCTTGGACCCTTACTATAAATTGAGGGTATTAGCAAAGCAGGTTTCACAGGATTTTATGCATTCTTTCTTAGGCCTGATCACCAGGGGGAACCCGTCCTTTTCTGCACAGGGCTGCACCCACTTCTGGCATTGTTTCAGGCTTAAGTCAGTCAGGGGAAGTGGCAGCCAAGAGATTAAGAGACTTCTTGCAGACAGAATGAGGACTCAGGCCATGTCAAAGCCAAGGGGTGAGAGTCCATCACCACCTTTCTACATAGCCCACCCAAGTCCTTCCCTGAGGTCCTCCTCATGACTGTGCCTGTCTTAGATCATCCCTCTTTTGAGGAATCTTACCCATCATTGGCTAACCAGTCATGCACTGAGGGCCAGGCAGGGTGAAGTACAGTGAGCAGAGTTTTGTCTCCTTCATGGCTTAGGGTCTCCAGGTCTCTCACTCAGCTTTAGCCATGGGGGGCTTATGGCTTCTGAAACCAGGCAGGGCAGTTCCCAACAGACCAGCAGTGTGTATAGCCCCTAACAGTCTGTGGGCACCTCCTGTAGGCCTGTCTTGACCTGGTCCCCAGCTCAGGAGCCATTACAAGTTCCTGTGCTGAAACTTACCCTGTTCAATAGTGAGCTTGTTGTGAGTTCTTCAAGGCATCTAACAAAGAAATAATAAGCCTCTGATGCTGGGAAACATCTGTGATGTCGGAGCCATGGAGATGCTGTGGACTAGTGCCCTGGACAGCTCCACCAACCCTGCTCCTGGGGCTCTGAGTGCTTGGGGTCTCCTTGGTTTGCTCTGGGAGGGCAGAGGCCCAATGAAGACTCCCGTGGGACTCCTGGATCTTCAGGGTACACAGTGCTCACAGGGCTTCATTGAAAGGGCTCTGTGGGTGGGGAGCTTTCTGGGTGGCACATGGCTCTTTTATAGTATCAGTCACAAACCACATTCCTACAGTCAGGGGAACCCAAACCGCTTTGACCGTGACCGGCTCTTCAGTGTGGTTGCCCGGGGTGTCCCTGAAGAGCTGGTTGGGCTACGAGAGTACCTGCGCCGTACCTCCAAGTTCCTGACCGACACAAACTACACAGGTAGGCCTGCCCTTTGGCCAGAGCTTCTGTGTCTGCCCACTGTGCTGAGATTTGTAAGGGTTGGGTGGGCCTTGACACAGGAGACAAGGGCAAGTGTTTTCTCTCTCTTATTTATTTATGAATTTATTTATTTTTAGAGAGGGAGAAGGGAAGAAGAAAGAGAGCATCAGCATGTGGGGTTGCTTCCTGAACATCCCCCCAACTTGGGACCTGGCCCAAAACCCAGGCATGTACCCTGACTGGGAATTGAACCAGCGACCATTTGGTTCTCGGTCCGCTCTCAGTGCACTGAGCTACACCAGTCAGGGCTCTCTTTTTTTTTAAGGGATGTGTTCTTAGCAGCAGACATTCCTGCTGAAATGGCTGCTGGGGCCCTGCCGACAGAGCCAAGGGCTCCTGCTTACCTTACTGTCTGGCCGTGCCTGCCACTTCCAACCAGCCCACCAGCTCCTGGCCTGCCCCTGTTCCCCTGCACCGAGTGCGTGCTTGTGGGCCTCCTCACGATGCATCCCCTTTCTTTATCCCTTCCTCCCTTTCTCTCTTTCTTCCTAATATTTATCTCATATATTTAATATTTTATCTATCTCAGAGTATTCTTTGCCCCAAATATAAATATATTTATTATTTGGGCTGATTAGAAAAATAATGTGTGCATTTTAGAAGATTCAAATAGTAATGAAGTGTGTAAAGCTGTGGGTAAAAAGTCTGTCATCCTAGATTCCCGTGAATACATCTTTTCAAACTGTTCAAATATGTTAGGTATATATTTACATAAATGGGGTAGTGCCATGTACACTAATTTGTAATGTGCTTTCCCCCCCACTTACTACATCTTGTAGCACTTTCCACTTCAGTATATTTACCTGTAACTTAGTCACTTTACAACTGCAGAGTTTTCCATTTCGTAAATTTTCCATCATTTCATTAATTAATTTCTTATTGATGGCCATTTAGGTTGTTTGTAGTTTCTGGCCTCAACATACTGTGTGCCAGGCCCTCTGTGTGCTGAGCATTTTGTGTATAATCCCATTTGATCCTTACAAATGACCCTGGAGCATTCCCATTTCACAGAAAGAAAAACTGAGCTGAAGGGAGGCCAAGTGACTTGACTGAGGAGACAGAGCCATTAAGTGGTAAAGCTATTTAACAAACATCACTCCAGATGTTATTGTATGGATAGCTTTGCATGCATGAGAAGTTAAGTCTTAGGAACAATTTCTAGGGCAGAAATGGTAGTCACTGGGGCCTTAGTGCCCCGCATCATGATTGTGCAATCTTTTTTTTATCCTCCAAGGAGCATTCTGGGCTTATGTACAAGCTGGCAGGCAGCCCAGCTGCTCCAGGCCTGAGCACCCTCGTGCCCTTTCTCTTCCCCCTCTCCCACAGAGGGCTCCACGGGGAAGACATGCCTGATGAAGGCTGTGCTGAACCTTCGGGATGGGACCAACGCCTGTATCCTGCCGCTGCTGCAGATCGATCGGGATTCTGGCAATCCCACGCCCCTGGTTAATGCCCAGTGCACAGATGAGTACTACCAAGGCCACAGTGCCCTGCACATTGCCATTGAGAAGAGGAGCCTGCAGTGTGTGAAGCTGCTGGTGGAGAATGGTGCCGACGTGCATGCCCGGGCCTGTGGCCAGTTCTTCCAGAAGAAAAGCCAAGGGGCTTATTTCTATTTTGGTGAGGAGTCTTTCTTGATTAAATTGAGGCATAGAGGGTGGGGTGGGGGGTGTCACATGGTTGAGGGGTGGTAGAGCTGGCCCTTAAAACCAGTTCTGTCTGACCCTGAGGTCCACGCTTTTAACCACTAGGTTGCCTGCAGAAGAAGTTTGTCTTAAGAGATGTTTATCCTTGTCTGACCAAGGAGCCCAGACCAGGGCTAGGGAGTGGCTGCTAAAACTGGCGTGTGACAAGAGTCCACCAGACAGGGACTGACTGAATGAAGGGTATCCGTGTCAGGCAGCAGAGGGCCTGGGCTCTGTTGAAGAGGAGAAAGAGGGGAAATGGGGACCCTAGGTGCTGGCCCCTGTTCTGCTCCCTTAGGAGAAGGCACGGCCACCCTAAATGGGGCCGGGGACCCCGAGGCAGGGTGCTGTCCTTTCCCGTGGGCACCTGACCTGCTTGGAGGAGGCCTGGCCTTCTGTCCAAGGAATGTGAGAAGTAGGCAGGTGAAAGCTTGGAGGTTCTAGGACCAAGCTGCCCCCTTGGCCCCCAGGTGAGCTGCCCCTCTCTCTGGCGGCATGCACCAAGCAATGGGATGTGGTCACCTACCTGCTGGAGAACCAGCACCGGCCTGCCAGCCTGGAGGCTGCCGACTCACTGGGCAACACGGTCCTGCACGCACTGGTGATGATTGCAGACAACTCGGCCGAGAATAGCCAATTGGTGATCCACATGTACGACAGGCTCCTCCAAGCTGGAGTCCACCTCTGCCCCACTGTGCAGCTGGAGGACATCCCCAACCTGCAGGGCCTCACGCCTCTGAAGCTGGCTGCCAAGGAAGGCAAGATGGAGGTGAGCGTCTGGCCCCTTTCCCCTCCCCACCTGTCCAGGACGCAGCAGGGCTCACTCTGAGTTTTCTGCAGAAAGAGCCTGGGGTGTTGCTTTAGATCAGTGGGCTTCCCACTTTTCTAAAATGTGTGTTTATTTTTTTAAGGTTTTATTTATTTATTTATTTAGAGGGGAAGGGAGGAAGAGAGGGGAGAAACAGTGATTTGTGAAAGATCCATCTATCAGTTGTGTCTCACATGCCCCCCGCTGGGGGCATGGCCACAACTCAGGCAGGTACCCTGAATGGGAATCGAACCAACTACTTTTTGGTTCACAGGCCAGCACTCAATCTACTGAGCGATACCAACTTGGACTTAATATGTGTGTTTATTGATAAACTGTACCTGAACTACTGAATTAATATATCCTATTATAAAACACAGGGATCTTTTCCATTTCATTTTTATTTTGTCTTGAACTTATTGGGGTGACATTGGTTAATAAAATAGATAACTTTAAATAAAACACAAGGATTCTTTTTTTAAAGTCATTTGTATTTCTTGATTAAGAGACAATCTTTTTCTTTTTTAAGCTTTTAACATTTTTTTCACTTATTGTTTTGTTTCAGAGAGAGAGAAAGGGAGAAAGAGGGAGAGAGCAAGACAAACATCGATTTGTTGTTCCACTTACTGCCGCATTCATTAGCTGATTCTTTTTTTAAAGGAAGTGCTCTTTTTAAAAAAGATTTTATTTATTTATGTTTAGAGGGATAGGGAAGGAGAGAGGGAGAGAAATATCAGTGTATGGTTGCCTCTCCTGTGTCCCCCACTGGGAACTGGCCTGCAACCCAGGCATGTGCCCTGCCTGGGAATCGAACCGTGATCTTTTGGCTCGCAGGCTTGTACTCAATGCACTGAGCTATACACCAGCCAGGGCTTCATTAGTTGATTCTTGTATGTGCCCTGACCAGGGATTGAACCCTCAGTCTTGGTGGGTCAGGATGACACTGACCAACAGAGATACTGGCCAGGGCAGGAGACAATCTTTTTATATCCTTATCTATTCTGCTATTAGATTTGCTATTAGGTTTTCTTCCTCTTGATTAGTAAGTGCCTTTTATGCTGAACATATTAACATTTCATTTACTCTAACAGTTCAAAATTTTCTGCCAGTTCAACATTAAAATTTTTATAGTATTTTTTGCCACACAGAATTGTTATGTTTTTATCCATGCAAGTTGTAGTTATCATTTCCTTTAGAGTTTTGCTACTATTTAATTATTCTGCAAGGTTATGCAACTATAACCGTGTGTGTGTGTGTGTGTGTTTCTCATATCCATATTTTCGTCCAGACTTTTGCAGCTTCATTTTTAGTGCCTCAGACTTTGGAGTCATTTTGGTGTAAAGAGTAAACACCATCCAGCTCTACCTTTTTCCAAATGACTTACCAGGGCTGTGCAGCTTACATAGCCCTGAGAGAAGCTTGGAACAGAAGCATTTTTAAAGTCTAAACATAAGTAGAAATTCTGTTATTTTTATTTCTTTTATTTATTTATTTTTTTTAAATTTTTTATTTTTAAATTGATTATGCTGTTACAGTTGTTCTATTCCCCCCTTCATTCCCCTCCACCCTTCCCCCCCCATCCCCACCATTACACCCCTTTAGTTTAAGTCCATGTGTCTCAAGTCCTTTAGGTTCTATATTTCCCATGCTATTCTTGCCCACCCCCATCTATTTTCTATCTACTGTCTATGCTACTTATTTTCTGTACCTTCTCCCCCATCTCCTCCTCCCACTCCCCTGTTGCTAACCCTCCTTGAGATCTTCATTTCTATATTTCCACTCCTGATCTAGCTGTTCTTTTAGTTTGCTTTCGTTTTAGGTGTGGTTGTTAATAACTGTGAGCTTGTTGTTCTTTCACTGTTCATGTTTCTTTAACTTCTTTTCCTTAGATAAGTCCCTTTAACATTTCATATAATAAGGGCTTGGTGATGATGAACTCCTTGAATTTGGTCTTATCTGAGAAGCACCTTATCTGTCCTTCCATTCTAAATGAAAGTTTTGCTGGATAGAGCAATCTTGGTTGTAGGTCTTTAGATTTCATGACTTGGAATATTTCTTTCCAGCCCCTTCTTGCCTGTAAGGTCTCTTTTGAGAAATCTGCTGACAGTCTGATGGGGACTCCTTTGTAGGTGATTGTCCCCTTAGCTCTTGCTGCTTCTAGGATTCTCTCCTTCATTTTAATTTTGGCTAATGTAATTATGATATGCCTTGGTGTGTTTCTTCTTGAGTCCAACTTTTTTGGTACTCTCTGAGCTTCTTGGATTTCTTGGAAGTCTATTTCCTTTGCCAGATTGGGAAAATTTTCTTTTATTATTTGTTCAAATAATTTTTCCACTGGTGGTTGTGTCTTTCCCCCCTTCTGGTACCCCTATAATTCGGATATTGGAGCATTTAAAGATGTCCTGGAGGTTCCTAAGACTCTCCTCATTTCTTTGAATTCTTGCTTCTTGACTCTTTTCTGTTTGGCCATTATTTGGTTTCTTCTGGTCCACTCCATTGATTTGAGTCCCAGTTTCCTTTTCATCTCTATGGGTTTCCTGTGGAATTCCATTCATTTCCCTTAATTTAGCCTTCATATATTTCTCTAATTTGTGGCTATAATCAACCAGATCTGTGAGGAAGCTGATGACCAGTGTTTTAAACTGTGCGTCTGAGAGTTTTGCTATTTCTTCGTCGCTTAGATTTATCTCTGGGGCTTTGAGGTCTTCCTGCGACATTTTTGGTCTGTTCTGGCCCTTTAAATGTGAGAAGCGGCGCCTTGGACTCCCAGGTTGCTGGGTTGTGACGCTGTATGTGGGGGCGTGGTCAGAGCGGGGAAATGGCGGCGCCCTCTATCGCCGCCGCTGCCGGTCCAACCGCCCACTCCCTCGCTCGTGCGCAATCAGGCAACCGCAGTCCGCATGCTGCACCGCCTCCCCACTGTCTCCTCCACAGTCGCTCACCCGGTGGGTCGCTCGGTTGTTCACCAGGTCCAATCCTGCGTCTGGAACCCGTGCGTCCGGATTCGCGCGTCTGGATTCCGCGCCCGGGTCCGACCGAGCCCTCCTTTGCAACTCCTCACCAGATGCCGGTTTCGCCCCTTACCGGTGGGGCTGAAGAATTTGTTGTTAGCGGACTTCCGAAAAGTTCAGTTTTCCGTGTTCTGGCTGTGTCCTCTGATGCTAATATTTAGTTGTCCCTAAACTTGGTTGTGTGAGAAGGCACGGCACATCCACCTATACCTCCATCTTGGCGGAAGTCAGAAATTCTGTTATTTTATTCCTGCTTAGGTCCCTAGGGTGTGGGGATGTCCCTGTGCTGTCTAGAGGCATGACTGTGTGGCTGCTGTGTGCCCTGTAGCAGCTGCTCCCCAGTCTGGCCCTTCCTTTTCTCTGGTTTTCATTTGTGAGTCCAAATTACTTCTTACCCTGTTCAGGTTAGTGGCTCTTTCTGCTCTGTTGAAAGCCCTGGACTCCAACCACTGGAGAGCACACATGTGCATAGCCGAGAGCCTCTGATCTGGACCGCAGTCCCTTGGCCACATGAGGAGTTCATGAAAGAGGCCAAGGGCAAGAATGGGGAAGGAAGACCCAGGCTGTCTGGCATGCCTGGGCATGTGTGGGCGGTGGGAGGGAATGTCTACCCTGGCTGAGCATGTGTGGATGTATGGAAGATTTTTCTACACAGAAGGACACATGTGTACAGGACATGTGCACATGTCTGCCACAGCTCTGCATGGTGCTGAGTATTTCCCAGACTCCCAGTCAGTACTGAGAGGTGGCCAGGCAGGCCAAACTCATGTGACCTGACCTACAGATTTTCAGACACATCCTGCAGCGGGAGTTCTCGGGGCCATGCCAGTCCCTTTCCCGAAAGTTCACTGAGTGGTGCTATGGGCCTGTCCGGGTGTCGCTGTATGACCTGGCCTTTGTGGACAGCTGGGAGGAGAACTCAGTGCTGGAGATCATCGCCTTTCATTGCAGGAGCCCGGTGAGCCTGCTGGTGCATGCCAGTGCACAGGGGGCCTGGCAGAGAGCTTCCTGCAGGGCCCACGGCTCAGGCTGTCTGTGGGACCTCACCTGCCCTATTCTTGTCCAGTGTGGGTGTGACTGCACATCCTGCCCCCGGCCATTGGGACCACACTCACTCCACACTCTGGTCCCAACTGACTCAGGGATCACGCCAGGGTCCTGGTGGCTACCACCGAGGGCCTTACTGCCTAGCCGTGAAGGTTGGGGGACGCAGGTGGGGAGGTGTCACTTGGGGCTCCCCCTTCTCTCTCCTCCATTCTCTCAGCCCTTGCATTGAGCCTGACACATGAGTGGGTCCCCTGTGTATACCTGCTGAATATACCCTGACTCTCGCATTTTCACCCCAGCACCGACACCGAATGGTGGTTTTGGAGCCGCTGAACAAGCTGCTGCAGGAGAAATGGGACCAGCTTCTCCCCAGGTTCTTCTTAAACTTCCTGTGTTACCTGACCTACATGCTCATCTTCACTGCTGTTGTCTACCACCAGCCTGCCCTGGAAAAGGCAAGGTTGGGGTGGGAGTGGGGGTGGGGTGGGGGGCATATCCCAGGAGGTTTTCACCCAGCTGGTGATGGGGGCAGCCAGCACCACAGGCATAACAACAGTAACAGTTAACATTGAGTGCCAGGAAAAGTAAAAAAGAACAAACAACAACAAAAAATACTTAGTGCACACCGCATGTGAGAAGGCATTCTGATTTATCAGCATGCCTTACTAAATTCAACTCCACAGCAAGCCTCCGAGACAATGAACTGTCATCCCAGCCCACAGCTGAGGGAGGGAGGCCCAGAGAGGCTCAGACACGTCTCTGGGCCCACAGAGGCAGCACGTGTCAGGGAGGGGGTCTGGGGCCAGGCAGTCTGGCTCTGGCTCCCACGCTCACGACTGCTACACACGACAGGCTAGACTCCAGGGGTCCTGCTGGGGAATGCATGTTTCCTCTGCTGCTTCGAGTAGGCCCTCAGCTCTGGCTGTCAGAGGGTCAGGTGTTTGGAGAGAACACTAGGTCCTACCTGAGAGTCTCTTCACAGGCCATCCTCCCCATGAAGGTGACGGCTGGAAACTCCATGCTGCTGCTGGGCCACATCCTGATCCTGCTTGGAGGGGTCTACCTCCTCGTGAGCCAGGTGAGGGCTCCTCCCCTTCCCCCACTCCCTGTGGCTCCCGGCCAACCCAGGAGCAAACCTGGAACTCTGCTAGGAGGAGCGGGAGAGTGAGTGGGGAACAACATTACCTTCACTAATGAGGAAACTGGTAGCGGATCCCACCCTGATCTGCCTCTGGGCAGCTGAAGGCCTTGCCTGCAGAGTTGGGTTACCCTCCTTACTGTGCTTCCTGGGTGCCTGTGGGGTAGCAAATGGCTCCTATGATTCCTTGGCAGTGCCTGCTCTGCTCCCAGGGAACTGAGCTGGAAGTCCTGCCCCAGGTCACAGGCATCCCTCACTCGGGGGACACAGAAAGGTCGAGGTAGGCGGGGCTCAGCCCAACTGCCCCAGCAGGGCCTCTTCAGTTCAAAATGCTTCAAGCTTGCAGGAGACAGGCTGGGCCACAGCATGGAGACTCTCGGAGGGGGCAGAACCTGGGCACCAAATCCAGGTTGGCTGGAGCACAGGGTAGTCCCTGAGGGGCTAGGGAGAGGGAGAGAAAGGAGCTCTCCCTGTTACCACACACAGTGTATGAGTTCTTCCTCTGGATCCAGAGGGAGCCAGGAGGCCCCTGGCACTGTCTCTGTGTCTGTCTCAGGGCTGTACTTTTCAGAAACAGGGTCTTAATCTTTCTTGGCTATCAGCAAAATTTATGAGCTCCTGTGATAAGTCACAGCTGGTCCCCACATGGCCAGAAGACAGGGAGCACGTGGGAGCCCTGGCCCAGGCACTGAGGGGCAGCAGCTTGGGGCTATGGCCTGGAGAACAAGTTTCACATGCCCCTCCTCCACGGCCGTCCTTCTCCCTCCCCACAGCTGTGGTACTTCTGGAGGCGCCGGCTATTCATCTGGATCTCCTTCGTGGACAGCTACTTTGAAATCCTCTTGTATGTGGGGCCTCACTCCCCCTTTATCTCAGGCCTGGGAGAGGTAGTTGTAGCAGAGGGCACCAAGCAGATGTTAGAGGGGAGGACCCAGGGCCAGGGAGCTCCAGGGTTTGGGACCAGAGGGAAGTCCAGCTGTCCAGTTGGGGCTCTCTATGCTCCCACCCTTATGATCATTTACTGAGCTCTCACTGTGCACCAGTGGGGCCTCCTTTACATGTCTTGTCTCACAGAATCCTCACAAATGCTCTAGGAGTCAGGTGTGATTACTGCTACCCCCATTTCCCAGGGGAGAAAACCGAGGCCCACAGGAATTAAATAACTTGCTTAGGGTACAAGTCAGGACCTGACTGGTCCTAGCCCCAAACAGGTGGGGAACTTCTCTCCTTCAGTCTGCAGTGGAAGAGACAGTGGTGGTCAGCACTGGCCAGTGGGGGTTAGGGGGACCCTGCCAAGTGGCCTGCAGACTGACCCATACCCTGCCCCCACCCAGCCTGGTCCAGGCCCTGCTCACAGTGCTGTCTCAGGTACTATGTTTCCTGGCCATTGAGTGGTACCTGCCTCTGCTTGTGTCCTCACTGGTACTGGGCTGGCTGAACCTGCTTTACTATACACGTGGCTTCCAGCACACAGGCATCTACAGCGTCATGATCCAGAAGGTAAGAGGTTGGGGTGGCCCTGTTGCAACCAGACTGGATGGGCTGGACATCATGCTCTAGCAGGACTCCTTTTGGCTTCAGCAGGCAGGTGAAGCCAACCTGGGCAGCTAACCTGGGCAGAGGAGAACATGAGTATGTGCATCACACATCCAGATGCTTGATGAATATAAGCAGGAGTATGGGTATGCACATACCTGCTCTCAGTGGCCTGCACTGTGTGTGCAAATACCTGCCCATGCATGTTTGCAAGTGTCCACATGGGAGCACATACATCCTTGCACGTTGAAGGAGCAGAGACTATGCACACAAGTTCACCTATGTGCCTGAGCCCTGGGACATCTGGGCATGTGGATGTGTCTGTGTTTATATATTTACTCAACAAATGTTTAGGAGGTACATACTATGGGCCAGGAAATAGAGCAATCCATACTCTTTTGAAGCTCACATTCTAGTAGGGGAAATGAAGATACTAAAAAAAAACAAATGAGGACATCATAGGCTGTATGAGGAAGAATGACCAGGGCAGTGGGCACTTCAGATAGGGGGGTCTGGAAGGCATGTCAGAAGTAGTGACAACTGAGACCTGAAAGAATGATTCAGCACAGACTCAAGGAAGAAGCATTTAAGACAAAGAGAACAGCAAAGATAAAGGTCAGAGGTCGAAGCACATTGGAGTGTTTGACACAGATTGGGGAGGCTGTGGAGAGTGAGGGAGAGAAAATTTGGTGGGGGGGGGGGGTGGGGTTGTCGGCCATAGGGTTGAATCTGGAGGCCCAGGAGGTTTTAAAAATTTTTTTTTAAAAAATTATGGTAAAATATACATAACAAAGGTATCATTTTAACCATTTTTAAAAAATGACTATTTAATTTTAGGCAGAGGGGAAGGGAGGGAGAAAAAGAGGGAGAGAAACATCAATGTGTGGTTGCCTTTCACGCGCCCCCTACCAGGGACCTGGCCTGCAACCCAGGTATGTGCCCTGCCTGGGAATTGAACAGGTTACCCTTTGATTCGCAGGCTGGCACTCAATCCACTGAGTCACACCATCCAGGGGCATTTTAACCATTTTTAAGTGTGCCCAGTTCAGTGGCATTAGGCACAATCAGACCGTGGTGCAGCCCTCCCCACCCATCATCCCCAGGATCTTCACTACCCCAAACCGAGACTCCATCCCGGGAAGCACTCCCTCCCCTGCCCTCCCCCAGCCCCTGGCAACCAGCCTTCTACTTTCTGTCTCTGTGAACTTGATTATTCTAGGTATCTCATGTAAATGGAATCACACAGTATTTGTCCTTTTGTCACTGGCTTATTTCACTCAGCATAATTCTCAAGATTCATCCATGCTGTAACATGTCAGAATTCCCTTCCTTTTTGAAACTGAATAACATCCCATTTTGTGGACATACCAGATTTTGTTTATCCTTTCATCTATCATTGCACACTTGGGTTGTTTCTACCCTTTGGTGTTGTGAATAATGCTGCTATGAACTTTGGTGTGTGCAAATGTCTGTTTGAGTTCCTGCTTCCAATTCTTTTGGTCATATACTCAGATGTGGGATTGCTGGATCATATGGTAACTCTATGTTTAATTTTTTGACCCGGGAGGGTTTGAGGCAGGACAATTATGTGATCTGGTGCACATTTTAAAAAGATCTATTGGCTCAGTATAGCTGCACAGGGCCCTGTGTGTGCACACACATGTGTGTATGTGTGGTATGCACATAGGAACACATGCTCAAGCCAAGGCAGGGGTCTGGGGTCATGTCTGGTGGCCCAGTCACCCACCCAAGCTCGTGGTGCTTGTGTTCCAGGTTATTCTGCGGGACCTGCTCCGGTTTCTTCTGGTCTACTTAGTCTTCCTCTTTGGCTTCGCTGTAGGTAAAGGCTCCACTCTGGCCCCTACCCATCCTTTGTCTGCCCTGCAAACCCTTAAGTCTGCCCACTGGTTTCTAAGGCTGAGGACACCCTTCTACCCTCCTACAGCCCTGGTGAGCTTGAGCCGGGAGGCTCAGGGCCCAGGGGTCCCCACGAGATCAAATGCCACAGAGGCAGTGAGGCCGGGGACAGGACAGGAGGATGAGGAGAGCGGCTCAGCCCCATACAGTGGCATCCTGGACGCCTCCCTGGAGCTCTTCAAGTTCACCATCGGCATGGGCGAGCTGGCCTTCCAGGAGCAGCTGCGCTTCCGTGGGGTTGTGCTGCTGCTGCTGCTGGCCTATGTGCTGCTCACCTACATCCTACTGCTCAACATGCTCATCGCCCTCATGAGTGAGACTGTCAACAGTGTTGCCACTGACAGCTGGAGCATCTGGAAACTGCAGGTGCCCCGGGGGCTTCCCTCCCCATCCCCACGTTCTGGACCCAGGGAGGAGTGGGTAGGACCCTGCTGAGCTGGTCCCTTACAGCAGATCCAGGGCCCTGGGTTGCTGTGAGGATTGAGTAAACTCATACATCTAAAGCTCTTAGATCAGTGTCTGGCACACAGTCAGTGCTCAATGTGTTAGTTATTATTAAGTATTTCTTGAGTGTCTTCTATGGGGATAGACACAATTTTAGATTCTAAACACACAACAGAGAACAAGACAAAGTCTGTCCTCATGCAGCTCCCATTCTGTGTTCACTCATGTTAAATGGGTTGGTTTGGTGGGTTTGGCAGGCAGGCTGTGCACTCTTGGAGCTGACTCAGCTTGGGGAAGTCAGGGGACCAGAAATCCCTGAAGCTGGGGGCTGATATGACATCTACTTACAGGGGAGGAAGCAAAAGCTGCTTCTTGACCTAGGCAAGGCTGGGTGTGGGTCTGGACAGTTTCTGTAGGGAAGGCCTTGCCCAGGTGGCTGCACTGTATTCCCAAGTCACTGTCCACCTTGGGTAAGCCCATCTTCTCTAAGACTCTGTGTCCTCACCTGCCAACTTCTGCCCCCACCTGACTTGCATACCAGTGGGCAGGCACACATGGAGGGTGAAGCAAATGAACTTGTGAACCTGGTGGTGGGGAATTCTGGGACCTGTAATGATAAATAGCAAGTAATTGTTGAGCACTGTCTACATGGCGACCTCCCCAAACCACCGGGCACATTATCTTCAGACTGTAAGTCAGGAAACTGAGGCGCTGAGGGCCTAACACCACACAGGCAATCAAACACCGGAGCTGGATTCCAGCCTGCCTGCTTAGTGGACTTGGGGTTATACTGTCAAGTGCATGGCACATCTTCCTGGCTGCTCTGTTTCATGTGTTCTTTGTCCCCAGAAAGCCATCTCTGTCCTGGAGATGGAGAATGGCTACTGGTGGTGCAGGAGGAAGAAGCAGCGGGCAGGTGTGAAGCTGACAGTTGGCACCAGGCCAGATGGTAGCCCAGATGAACGTTGGTGCTTCAGGTGAGTGAGGGGCTGGGAAGGGTGGCCGGTGAAGGCCAGCCTTCTCTGAAAGCTGCAAGGGCAGGGCTAGGAGCATGGTGGGGGGTCCCGTGTCCTGTGGAGAAGGGCAGAGAAACCCCATCCTCCTTGCAGCCCCTGTGTCCCCCCGGAGTGTCTGTTGAGTCCACCCACTCAGGGGCCAGGGCACCCCTTGGGGCCAAGCAGACTGCACGTGAGTGTCTGGCTGCCTCAGAGCTGCTTCGTTGCCCTCAGGGTGGAGGAAGTGAACTGGGCTGCCTGGGAGCAGACGCTGCCTACGGTGTTTGAGGAACCTACAGGGCCCAACCCTGGTGAGACAGTGTTTGTGTTCTCATGTGTATGTTCACGTGCGTGTGTTTGCATGTTCATTTTCATGTGTGTGCGTGTGTATGTGTTTGCTTGGCCACAAAGCCATGGAGGTTCTGGGACAGGGACTCTGCTCTGGCCACTCCCCAGCTACACTCATTAAAAGAAATTGCCCCTGTGGGGGTTGGCTGGGACGGGAATAAAAGACAGAAAACTGTACTTGAACAACAATTAAATAAAAAAGGGGAAAAAATCTATCAAACATTTTAAAAAAAGAAATTGACCCTCTTAAAGTGGTACTTCCCCGTCTGTTCTGCCCTCGTGTCTTAGCTGGCCTGGGAAAACCTGAGGCTGTGAGTTCATTCGCCGGTTCAGCCTTCAGCCTTTCCTCACTCCTGCCTCTTCATCCCCACCCCTCCTCCTGGCAGGTTTCAAACCACTGCACCTTGTGTCCATTCAAGTATCAGGCCTGGGCTGAGCCTGGAGACCCAGCAGGGCAACATGTTAAGGAAGGAGCCCTACCCAGCTCATAGCTCAGGTGGCATCTCTGGGAGGCCCCACCGGCTCTGTCCTGGTCAGCCTTGCTGACCTGAGGGCCCAGACTCTTCCCACCTCCAGCCCCAGTGCCTGGGAGGGGAAGCCACTGCCTGTGCCCCTCCTGCCCCTCGGGGCCTGTATCCTCCTCATCCCACTGTGGCAGTATCCTGCCTTGTCCCCACTCTGCTATTTCCTACCATGAGCGATTCCTTCCTCCCACCCAGAGGCCTGTTCCGAGAATTAGTTTTCTCCACAGCATATCCTTTCTGGAACCTTCAATAGCTCCCACCTCATTTTCTTCTAGCTTCCCCTCTCTTCTTCTCTTTCAAAGACACTCCTCTTGCTTGTGCCTTTGTCCCCAACCCCTCCCACAATGGCCTCCTGCACCACCCATGACTCCCCATGGTGGGGACTCCTCTGGCCTCCTGCTCCAAAGCCCACTGGTTCACCAGGTCCTGGTCCCTGACTAAGGCCCTCACAAACCCATAGGTTTCCTGCCCACCCTTGCTTTGTCCTTAATTCCAAGTCCTGCTTTCCCGTCACTTCACTGCCAACATTCTGAAAGGCACCCCACTGCCTGCTAGGGCCTCCGGCAGACATCCCCGAACAGGAGCAACCTTGGGGCTGCCCCACCAGGTAACTGCAACTCTACTCCCTCCTCACCCAGGTGGGAGGCCTTGAGGGTTTCTTGCTCCCCCAGCCCCCAATCTGCGCTGAGTATCCTCAGGACCCCATGGGCAGCCCTTGCCCCTTTGCACCCCCTATTTCTCCTGATTCTGCACCACTGCAGGGCTGCTCAGCCTGCACCCTGACCTCCAGACAAGTCTCCCTGGTCCCTGTTTATCCACTTCCTTTTCCTCTATGTAGACAAAACTATACTCAGCCCCACTCTTCAGCACGCAGGTCAAGGAGCAAGGCCGCTTTCCCACCCACTCCCCACACCCCTCTCCATGTGTCAGCCAGTCTGTTGACAGTGCTCCTCGTTCTTTGTTAGCTCTTGTATCTGCCACAAGTGCTCTTCCTGCTCCTCTGCTGTCCAAATCTGCTGCCTCCCCTATGGTTTGGGTCCCTTCTCTCCTTTCAGGTTCTTTCTCTCCTATGAGCTCCCTGAGCACCTAACTCTCACTTCCCTCCAGCTCCTCAGCAAGTTTCAGGTGCTCTCACTTCTAACACGAAAGCCTGTTACCTCCAGAGTCTTTAAGCTCCTGGGAGGAGGCCCTCCACTGGCACAGGGCAGGGGTTCAGGAATGCTTATAAAAGGAGGGAGGCAGGGAGAGGGGTTGCTGGGGACCTCAGGATCCCCTGATGGCCACAGGGCATGATGTGTCTTCAGGGTTGTGGCTTCCTCCTGTTTCCCTAGTGCCTGCTTCCTGGGGACATACCCCTACTGCCGAGTCACAGTGCTCTTTCTCCCATTTATAGGCACCATGAAGAACCTCACCCTGGGCTCCCAACCTGAGGACAGTGCCTTGGAAGAGGACCGTCTTCCCCTCCATGTCCTGAAGTCCAGCTAATGGCCTGGACAAAGCAGGAGCCTGGCAGGACAGACCCAGGGCATTTTTCCAGCCCTACCTGATGGTTCTGGGGCTCTAGAATGGTGGCAAATTAATAAATATTTTCTCATGGCTGACTCTTCTGAAAACATTTGAGCAAAGTTTTGGGGCCCTTAGGCTGACTGACATCTGCGTAACTGTGAGCACAAGCCTGTGCCCAGGGCTGGGCTGCTCTGCCCTCACCTGGCCCAGGGGACCCCATCAGCGGAGTGCAGGGAGCTAGCCTAGGTGTTCAGCTCAATATTATAGCAGGTGGGAGGTGGTGGACATGGGCAAGTGCAGCCAACTCTCCTCTCTCTCCCATAGCCTCTAGACCCCTTTAAAGCTACCTCCAACAGGTCTCTTCAAAGTCTTTGAGCAGTTCAGCTTAGTTTAGACTCTGGATTATTGCTTTCTGTGCCTACTGGGCTTCCTGCTCAGTTTACACCCCTGCAAGCCATTCTCAGCAGAGCAGTCAGAGGGGATGTTCTGACACAGAGAAACACGGTTCCTCTGTGCTCTGAAGGCTTGAGGGGGTCCCCAGTATGCACAGGACCCACCAGATGGCATCCCCAGCCCTCTATGGTTTTGCCCGAGCATTTCCAGACACTACTTCTTCCATACCTCTGCTACCTGCCCCACTCCAGCCCCCTGCCCCGCCAGCTCTTTCAATAAATTCTTCACATAGGCCAATGGACCTCAAGCCTGTCTGATCCCTTGACTTGGCTCTCTGAAATTCCCTCTCTCCAATAAGACTACAATTATTCTAAGACCAGCTCAAGAATTGTCTCACAATAGGCTTTCCAATTTACTTCAGTCAAAATGAGTTGCTCCCTCTTGAGGTAATGTGTTTATATAACGTGTATGCACAATTGCATATTTTTTTTTTAAGTGGGAAAGACATGAGCATGTTCAGATGCTGAACGGAAGGCAGAGTTTTCCACTGCTGTTGAGATAGAAGACAGGATAGTAAGACAGGAAAATTCCTTGGCCAGTGGACTAGGATACTGAGACAGATGGCTGAACAGAATGGTAAAGCAATGGCAGACGGGCGCGGGGCGGGGGGGGGGGGGGGGAGGGGGGTAGGCCTGGCAGGGGCAAAACTGGAGAAACAAGGACCCGCACTTACAGGGTAACCTTTCCTCCCCAGGCCTCTCCTCCCTGGAGACAACATCTAGGCCTATGCAATAACTAACCACCGGCACTGACCAATCAGTGGAGACCAGGACTGAAAGGTCTCACCAGGAGAACTGATTAACATTCTACTGAAACTTCCCCTGAGACCTCCCTTAAGGGTCCCGCCCGCAAGACAGAGATAAAAGCCTTAAAACAAAGGACCCAGCAGGCCTGTGCTCTCCCTCTGGGGAGCAGCTGCCTGGGCCATTCCCTTTCCTTCTTCCCGTTTCTTTGCCCCGAGGCACGCATCTCCTAAGGCAGTGGACAGCCGGCAGCTTGTCACAAGCTGATCCCCTGAAGATGTCCCCAAGGCTCCCTTTTTTTTTCTCGCTTCCCAGAGAGCTCAGGTAGTCCAGCGTGGGTTCTCCCGTTGCTTCTTCTATGCTAAACATTTCCTTGTTTCACTGTGCTCAGCTTTAATAAACATCCTTATAGTCACCTGGACTCATGTTGTAAAGTCTTTCCGACACTAAGTCAAGAGCACACATGTTACAGTGGACCCTCAGAAGACCCGCTCTGGGCAGATCCGTGTGGGGTCACAGGGGGATGGGGTAGAGAAGCCCTGGAAAATCAGCGAAGGGGAGGGGGAGGCAGGATGGCTGCCCTGTCTGTCCTCAGAGGCCATTCTATGGAGACGGGCGCAGTTAGTGTGCGCGGTTGCGAGGCTCTATATTTTCAGAGTTGTCAGTTGGAAGCAGACTGGCTCACTGCGTGGCCTGCCAAGGCTCTGCAGGGTTTCAAAGGTCTTATCTTGCGTGATCCTCACAACAACCTTCTAGGCCGCGGTTTCACCACTTTCCTGAAGAGCAATGGGAACCTCACAAAAGACGACAAAGAAACTCAAAATCACACACCAAAGTGGCAGCGCGCCCAGGTGGCCACAGATCTCGCCGCAGCACGCTGCACCCTGCGCAGGCGCTCTGGGCGTCGCTGTGCCTGTGGCCCAGAATTCGCCAGGACGGCGAGGCAACCATGACTGTACAGGAGGGGGAGGCCTTGGTGGGGGCGGTGCCTGTGTGGTAAAACAAGGTGGAAGTTCCCGTGAGTCTTTGCTGGCCTCACCCTCCCTTCTGTGAAGAGTGGAATGTCCCAACTCCTTAAGAGCCTCGGCCACGGCAGGCACCACCTCTTTCACCGTGACTCTTAAGTATTGTTAGTCAGTGGGTCTTTTTGTTTTTGCATCTGGCGGTCGTAGCTGGTGGCAAGGGCAGTGCCTTTCTAATTTTGGGATGTTTTCGGGAAGCTTAATCAGAGAGCGGCTGCTCGCACGTGGGGAGGCGAGCGTTGTGGCTGCCGCGGCCCACAAGGGCCGCGCCACGCTGCCGGCGTACGGGGAGAGGGACGCGTGCATGTCCCGCAGGGCCCCCGCCTCCAGTGAGCCTAAAGTACCCAAAAGCCGGGACCCCTTTCCGTGGGCTTGCCGTTGGGAGTGATCAGATTTGAGAGAACAAGGTAAGTGGGGGACTCCCTGCACTGGGGACCACGAGGAAGACTTGCTTGACTGTCCTGATGATACTAACGTTAGGAAGTGCCGTCAGATGCGATAACTGACGATTTTTATGTTTATCTGATTGCAGTCACTGAAACGTCAATAGTTTAGTTTCTTGTAACTGCCGAATCTACCCTAAATGCATGTCCGTCTTCATATTTCAGGTGACCGACCTACTGACGAGCACCAAAGACGGGAGCAGCATCCTACTTTGAGGTAAGACTTGGTCTAGGTAGAAATTAATATGGAACTTGGCTGTATAGCTAAGGTAGCTGTATTGCTACCTTAAATTCACTGAAATTGCCTGATGTCGCATAGTTGTACTTTTACGTGTTTATTATGCATTACCTCACTGCATAATTGCAATGGGTAGGAGGTGGCTGCCCCCAACCTGAAAGTATTTAAATCGCACCTATATGCATGAACAAACTGCATTCAAATGTCTCCTGGCTGTTCAGGCAACGTTAAATTCAGGGTAATGTGTAGGGCCCTGGAGCAGAACTGAGAAGAGTGGGGAGGTTGGCTGCTCTTATGAGATCACTATCAGGAAGTGCTGTCAGAATCGACAGCTGAGGATAACTCCTGGCTGACTGCAGTCTACAAGTCCTGAAGTTGCTGGTGCCCAGGAGTGAGCTGTTCTGAACTGTAACCCTTAATTTCTTTATTCACCCAGGTTGCAAATGAATGAAGGACTGGCAAGATCTGAGTGTTGGTGTGAGAAGCATTGGTCTGGTGTGAGGTAGGCTGTCGTCTGTGGAGAGGTAGATGTTACTGGCTGAGCATGGAGCCATGAGTTCCTTTTTACTTTATGGCTATATAGTCCTGAGCAAATTGACTGTGTGCTCTAAGATATGATTTCTCTCAAACTCAAAATTGGGTTTGTGATGTTTAAAATAATTGACCAAAAGGCCATTCAATGCCCAAGAAATCAATTAGGACTAAGTTCTTAAGGATTCTTGTTAAAATGGAATGACTTCAAGTCATAGTTGGGGCTATTAGGATCTGAACTACATCTCCTAACTAGGTTCTTGATTCATTCTCCTAGGTTTTGAGTGTGAAGGGTGATTGGCAGTGCACTTTGAAAGCTGGTGACAGTGGCAGCTCCCCTGGGAAGAGGTAAGAATTCATCTGGACAGTGATTGCCCCATAGAATGAATGAGCAGTTAGTTCTGTTGCAATTTAATAAAGGATATCAAATGATGATATCACCCAAAATAGCTGGAATTACCGGCAGATTGTATGGTGGTGAATCTACGTTTTCTGAGGATGTCCTACACTGTGAATGACTATTGTTGGGAACAGAGAGTGTGACTGACACTTGTTTCTTTGTAGACCACGTTTCTAGATGGTCAGCAGTGCTGCAGCAGTGGTAGCATTTGAAGTCTCCATGGCCCAGTACCACCTGGACAACCCGGACTCAGAAACCCTAGGCGTCAGCATTTGCTGTGGAAACAGTCTCACCTTATACTAAGCATCAGAGGACATTCTTACCAATAGTAGAGCCAAGAAGTGGATTTGGCAACCTTTGCACAGGACATGCACTTTGGCATCATGAAATTCATGAGTTTTCTAGTATTGTCCTGATCAAAAGGAGCTTCTGTACATTTTAATGTTGTATTTGTTGTATTGGGCAAGGGTCTGAGTTGTTTAAGCTGTAAACTTCCTCCTGAAGTTAATATCTATGTACCATAAACTGCCATTGTAATAAAGGATGGCCTTTGGTATTGTTTCTTAAAATGTGTATTTGAAGGGTTAAGTTTGACCACTGCTGTCAAATATTACCAGTCCACTTGTCAACTTCCCTGTAGTCTAAGTTCTTTTTAGACTTTGAGGCAAAAATCCAAAGCATTTAAGGCATCCATATACTTCAGTCCAGTCCCTAGTTACCCTGGGCTCTGTCTCTGCCTAGCCTTCCTCTAGTAACCCCTGAAGTTGTGTTGTCTAGCCTGCCTCTCACCCTAGCCTCCATCTTGCTGTTTTGTTTTTTTTTTTTAAATTATGATAGGCTATGGGTTAACAGTGGGTGAAAACCTTTGCTTTTGGGGACCTAGTTTCCCTCCCCTTAGCCATCTTTGGAGGCAGGTCTTCTGTGAATTAATAGGAGTGCTTTTAGCACCATTCTGGTCCTTTGTGTTCAATAACAGCCTTCCATAGTAGGTTCTGGGAATGTGCTCAAAGTGTCAAGGATACTTGGGACCTCATGGAACTTGATGGGAAAAGCATCCTTAGACCCTATTTAAAAGGAGACAGTGCTCTGGCCTGCACAGGGCAACACTGGGAATGAGTCTAGTAATTTTTTTGTTGGTGTGTGGAGGGATTGTGGGATAGGGTTTTGCAGTGGCCTTTGACGTATCTGCCCCAGTCACCTTAGGATACTCTTGAACGGTGGCTGGTTCCACAGGCAGACCTCTGGAGTCATGGGTGTGAGGGTGGAGACTGGGAAGTCAGTTACAAGGAGCCCACAGCTTAAGGAGCTGAATGACTTTCGGTCTGTGGTCCACAGGGAGTCTAGGCTCCTGGAACCTGGTAGCCAGTCCCCTACCCCCAACCCCCTTCACTCAGGAGCGCTGCTAAGATTCCAACATGCCTGGAGCAGGGGCACAGTTAGCATCTATCTGTCTGGAGTTTGCTGCCCTGAACAGGACAACTGTAATGTAGTATCAGAAAGTCTGGGGCTGGATGTAGGGTCCCAACTGCACTCCTGGGAGAGAGCATTTAACTCACATCTCAGGCTACCAGTATCCCCACTTCCTAAATCCTGGAAGGCTGAGGACTGATTACTTTGGGCAAAGGATAGCTTCTCAGTAGTCAAAGATGACAAGGGGGAAGAGGGAAGGCCAGTGAGAAGCATTACACAACCTGCCTTTTCCAGATTCTGCAATCTGGCTTTCCCATGGGTGGAGCTGCCCAGGCCTGTGTTAGGTGATGGCCTGAGCACCCTGGTAGGAGTGGTTAGTCTGCTTCAGCCATCCTACCCCACAAGGCCCCACTTCTGTGTCACGTCTGAGCTGCACCTGCGGTCTCCCTGCCCTCAGTCCTTAGCAGGGGCCAGAAGGTCCCCTCCAGGGTCCTCCTGGCCCACTGTTCCATCCCGGACTTCTTCTCCATAGCCTGCGCCCTCACCCAACTCCAAGATGGTGGGTAGGTGGCCCTGTTTTGGGCAGCGCTTGCGCAGGCTGAGCAGGAAGGGCTGGGGCAATGAGAAGATGTCCACGTTGTTGCCCAGGTCAATCCACGTGACACTGGGGAACTTGCTGGGGTCCTTAAGGGTGTCGGTGAGGTCACGCAGCAGGGCTCGGGTCAGCCGGTTGCCATTGAGGGCCAGTGTGGTGAGGCGGGGCAGTGTGCTGAGTGCTGGCAGCAGCTGTAGGACCATGTCATCTGTGAGGCCTGTGAAGCCCAGCTCCACGCTGTCCACCTGCTCCCCACAGCGCTGCAGGTAGCTGCTCACCCGCTCCAGGTCACGGGAGGTAAGTGGGATGCCCGACAGGTCTACCGTGTTGTCCAACGGGCTTCCAGCTAGGACAGCCTTGAGACTGGAGGGGAGAAGGGACAAGCAGTTTCAGGTAAGTGGGGCAGGGCTTTTCTCCCAGTGCGGCAGAGCTAGCACCTTGGTCTCCGTTCCAGGGACGGGTAGAAACAGAGTCCTGGTCCCCTGGCTCTAGTACCTCACGTCCGGCCGGGCCCAGCTAGCCAGCGAGCCCGAGGGGCCACAAGAGAAACACCCAAGTGTTTCTGCAGTGATGAAGGGAACCTTCTGGGGCTATAAAGCCTGGGTTTGCATCTTAACTCCTTCCTACTCAGTGTGACGTTTAGTTAGGTCCTTAACCTCTCTGTGCCTCAGTTATTTTCCCGGAAAATGGACCCATTTGAGTGCAACAGGGTTGTTATGTGAAGTAAGTCAACAAATGCAAAGCCTTTAAAACAGTGCCTGGTTTGGGTGAGTGATGGATAAATATCTGCTGCTGTCCTTATTAATCACCTGAACTGAGCTTCCTGCTTCTGTGAAAGTGACAAGATTTCTGATGTGTCCTTTTCCAAGGCCATGTTCCCCACCAGATGGGGATCCTTAGGCAGATCCCCCCAGGACGGTGGGCAGGGGAGGGTGAGGGAGCTCCAAGCCTGGTGGGAGCTGCTGACTCCTGGAGGCGGGGTGCTCTTTGCTCCCTGCCTCGTGCCATCCCTTGCTCTTCTTTCTTCCCTGCTCCTTGTCTGGGGCCACAGCTCCCTACTTCCAGGTATCGCAGGCAAGCCCGGAAGGCCCAACCCTGGGAAGGAGAGGGAAGGGGGAGGGGCTGGTAACAGCCGGAGCTGAGCAAACCCCTCCCCTCGGATCTCCTGAAGCTGGAAGGCCACCAATAGTTTGCTCATCTTGCCCTGCCCCAGGGCGATGAAGGTAAAAATCTCATGGCATGGCATCTAAGGGCTTGGAACACTGCCTGGTGTTTGTCTAGTGTGATTTCAGTGCTGGCTGTAACTCTTGTCTATGTCATTAGTAAAGCAGGCCTATCACACCAGGGAAATAGGTAGTGTGGTGGTTAACAGTCTGAGCCTGGGGCTGGATTCCAGCCCTGCCACTTAACAGCTGGCTGATCATGGCAACGGTCAGATGGCAACAGTAATGGCCCTGACCTTGGTCAATCCTTTAACAAGTGTTAAGCTCCTACTAGGTGCCAGGAGCTTCCCTAGGCACTGAGGCCACAGTGGTGAACCAGTTGGACAAGACTCCTGTTTTCATTCTGTCAGAGAGGGGCTGGCCAGTAAGCAAACCAATCTGAGAGTAAAATCAGAGTGTAGCTTGGGGACATGGCCACTGGAGGAAGGCTTCTTTGAGGAGATAACTTTTGAGGTGAACAGGTAAAGAAAAAAAGTAGGCCTTCAGGATTTGGTAAGAGCTCTAGTGAGGGAGTGCAGGTGTAAAGGTCCTGAAGTGGGAACAAGCTTGCGGTGTCTGAGACCAACAGGAAGGAAAAAGGGGCAGGGGGCATAGGAGTGTGGGAGCAGAGAGAACAGAGGGGCTGAGGACCCATCACATAGGGCCCTGTTTGCGTTTCGCTTGAAGCGACCAGGAGCCACTGAAGGAAGAGTGGACTGAGCATGTGTGCATGATGGGGAGACAGGAGAAGAGGCCCCTGGACTCCAACAGAGTTCCAATTCCCAGCTTTTCAATCCTGATGAACTAGCTCCCAAAGTTTACTTGTGGCGTTCCAGGTCCCATGGGTTCTCCTGTCCTGCTCTGTCTCATACATGGCCCTGCCCTCAGCCCAGCGGGAGCCTCACTTCTGCCACTTGGGGAGGTCTCCCCAGGACCCTTCTCCTCGCTGGTTTGGGGGCAGAGCTGTCTATAAGGGAAAGAGGGGCCAGTCTGGCCTCTCCCCGGCTGTAGCACCTGGAATGATGAGCCCACGGCAGCAGCAAGGCCCAGCCCATTTTTCAGAAGGGAAGGCGTTGTGCTCCATGGCCACTCACGAGAGAGGCAGGGGCGCTTCCTCCTCCTCCAGAAAGTCTTCCTTTCAGCTTCCCCTCCACCTGCTTCCTGTCATGTCCCACAGGTTCTGTGTCCCTGGTGCTATCTCTCACCCAATCTCCAGGGGGCCACAAATCCCCTGAGGGTTGTCACTGCTGCATGGACCAGGGATATACCTGGGTCTAGGTAGGGGATAACCAAGAGACCTGGGGGCAATCAGCGAGCATGCCCACATTAGGTGCAGTACACCAGGAATCAGAAACTCACATTCCCCCCACTCCCGATCCTTCAGAATAGGCCCATATCCCCCAGCCCCCATCTCACAGAGCAGGGTCCTACCTCCAGGGCCTCATATAGTCCATGTCCACCTGGAGTGCTCTCCTGGCTGCTTTCCCCACCATAGAATTGTCTTTCCATCTCACCTACTTCAGGAAGCATTCCAAGACAACACCCTCTGGTCCAGCTCTTGCTTTTTCCCCACTGTCCTGGGAGGGGGTGCTGTGTATCAGACACCCAGACTGACATAGGCTGTCTTTGGGCTGCATTTCAGGAGACTGGCAGGGGGGCAGGGCAGACCCACTGCAGGTGACCATGACTCACCAGGCCTGTGGCTTCCTCTTCACCAGCCCCCGGTGCCTCCGCCACTGGGAGTGGGGGCTGAGATGGTATGTCAGCTGCCGGCACAGCTTCTCCATGGCACCCAGAGCATCGCCTTCCTGCAGAGGCAACGGAGTTGGGGAGCAAGGGTAAGAGTCCAGCCCCGCACCTCCAGCCTCCTGTCCCTGCAGGAAGAGCATGGCACCCAGGCTGAGCTGGGGGAGGCCTGCTCCGCTGGCTCAAGGTGGGTGCCCTCAGTAAAGAGCAGTAGTTACAAACTGATCTGCATAATGGTTTTAGTTTTTGTGAGTTAGCTGCTATGATAAAAAAAAACTGGAGATGTATGTAAGTCTGGATTCCAGGTGATCTGACAACGATTAATCGGAGTCCAGTTGCTTGCTGATCCCTTAGCCAGGGTTCACTATGGTCCCTGCCACTCCCCAACACCCAGAGCCATTCTGCTCCTTCAGTGGTCCAACAAACATTTATGAGCAACTAGTAGAGGCCAGACACTTGTAGGAGCTGAGGACACAGCCATGACCAAATGTCCTTGCTCTTGTATTAGTAAAATACTTTGACCATGTCTTATACCCAGGTCAAAAGTAGGGGAAAAAAGAATGAAGGAGCCACGGCTCTCCCAGCCCAATCCATCTGTTACCTGTGTGGCCCATCAGCATTTGAGTTTGAGAGCTTGGGTCTGAATTGTGTCCCCCCCAAAATTTTAACACCTCAGAATGTGACTGTATTGGAAGACAGGGCCTCTAAAGAGTTATTATGGTAAAATAAAGTCACGGGGGCAGGCCCTAGTGCAGTGACTGGTGCCCTCATGAGAAGAGACTGGGACACAGGCATGTACAGAGGGAAGGCCACGTGAGGACACCATGAGAAAACAGCCATCTACAAGCCAAGGAGAGAGGCCTCAGAGGGAAAGAACCTGAAAACACCTTCATCTTGAACTTCTGGACTCCAGAACTGTGGGAAATAATTTCTGTTGTTTAAGTGGAATTTTGTTATTGCAGCCTGAGCGAACTGACATTCCAGGTTGAAGGGTGCAGCAGGGAGACACCAGAAAGACTCCCACTCCGTCCCGAGGGAAAACAACCCAACAAACAGTTACTGTGCAGCCCTGGGGCAGTGAGTGGCCAAGACTGTGCTCCCACCAGATGGTCTAGTGCCAGGGTCAAGAGCCAGAATGCCAGGGCTTAGATGGAAACGCACTTGTGACAGAAGTGTGGATGTGGCCACTATTAACCCATGTCCAGTGCTCAGCAGAACACCTGGCAGAGTGAGCACTCAGTAAAAGCCAGCTTGATTCTTATTACCATTATCATCATCACTCTGCTAACTGGGAAGCAGCACATTGAGTAATTAAGAGAATGAACTTGGCACCAAACCGTGGATTTCAATCTTTGCTTTGTCTCCTTTTGTGTATGCCTCTGATCCTTATCTGTGCTGGCCTCACAGAGGATTTTGTGAGGATTAAATGAGTTACTACTTGTAAAGTGCTCTGAATATCACTTGGTATACAGCACGCTCTCTAGGAATGCTCGCTGAATCAACCCCGTGCTGTACTGTAAGAGCACAAACACACAGAACTCTGGCAGGGTAACGAAGAAAGATTTACTTCTGCTCAGGCTCAGACTTGAAGTGGGCTTTTAAGAGCAGGTGGATTTGTACAAGGTGCAACTTGTACAAAGGGTTGGGGGTGTTACAGCTGTTGGGGCAGGTGACAGTCTGGAGCCTGACTTTTTGCCACTTCCATGGTACCACCTTGGCCCAAGCCACTATTGTCTGTCACCTGGATTAGTGAACACAGACATTACGCTAGGGCCCCTTTATGAAATTCCCACAGCATCCTACTGTAGTAACTGCTGTCATCATCCCCATTTTACCAAGGAGGAAACTGAGGCTCAGAGGGCCAAGGCTGTTGAGAAGGCAAGACATTGAGACTCTGGGGGAAGGAGACAAGAGACAGGGGGCCTAGGCAGGGGGAGCTGAGTGTTCAAAGAGGTGAATATATGCAGAAGGAGCAGTAGAGAAAGGGAGGCCCAAGACTGAATGACAGTGCTTTAGAGGAAACCTCTGGTCTCTAGTTCTCCACAAACCTCACCACTTCCTATTGCCTAAGAGAGAATGAATGTCATCTGTCATTCCTGGCAAATGCACATACAATCCCTGGGGTTCACACCTTTCTTGCTGAGCCTGGGCTTAAGGGTATGTGTGGTGAGAATGGGTGGTGAAGCAGGCAGGGGTTCCATCATGGGGGCAGCAGGGGAATGGCAAAGGGAGGGCAGCAGTGTCACATCTGCATTTTAAGACTGTCCTTTGGACTGGGAGATGGAGAAAGGGATGGACTGGAGGCAGAGAGGGTGTCTCGGGGCCAGGCCCATCTTCTTACATATGGTTTGGGGAACCTCTGCCAGGCCCATGGAAAGGGCTGCCAGTGACAGGCCACCACACTCGACAGGAAGAGAGGGTATGGACAGGGAGGGGTGAGGAGGGGTGTAGGCCTTTGGCTTGGGATGGGGGCAGAAGGATCTAAAAGGCTCTGGATAAGAAGCAAGTGAAAGCAGGACAAGGGAATGCCAGCTCATTTCCAGCTGGGAGACGGGAATGGATTTGTGGAGCTGGGGCTCAAGACAGGTCCGGGCTGGACTGTCCATTGGCATTTGATTAACGCCCCTGGCCAGGAAATGAGCAGAGGGGGAGGTAGGGGGAAGCTGCAACATCAAACAGGCAGACATACTGGACAGGCAGGGGCTGAGAAGGCATAGTCTGAGACAGAATGTTGCCAGTCTCGCACAACACCTGCTCCAAAGCTGAGACATGAACTCAGCGTCAGCTCCTTTTCCAACCACTTCCCAAGGTTTCCAAACCAGGAGCCATGGGCTCTCCTTCCATCCTGTAGGCCTGGCTGGGCAACAACGGGGAAAAGAGGCAAAGCAGCTGCCGCAGTGCGCCAGCATTGCCACCAGGGGGAAGCCGAGTGCAGGGTGAGGCACTAGGTTTGGCTACACGCTGCCTCTCTGGACCTGGGAGACTGTTGGCTTGCTTCCCCATTGACTAACCCAGAACAACATTGCCACCTAAGGAGGCTGACCCAAGACCAAATGTAAGCTGGTGTTTTCACAGAAGTGAGGGCTCCCCTCCACTTGTTTGGACCAAATAAGCAACTGCTGACGTTTCTTCAGCATCTACTGTGTACGTATGTTAGGCATTGCCTCTGTATCACATGCCTGAACTCATCATAAAGCTGTAATAACAATTTTATGAAACGGGCTACTATTTTCTCCAGTTTACAAAGGAGGAAACTGGAGGATAAAGACGTTGAATAGACTGGCATGCTAAACAATGTGTAAGAAGGCATTAGGATCCAAACCTCCAAACCTTGGCAGACTCTCAACAAGCTACCCACCCTGCGCTCTGCTCTGCCCTCCTGGAGATAATCTTGCACTTAGGTTAGTTCAAGGTGGTTCTATCATTTGCACCCAGAAAAGACTTAAGCAGGCCCATCTAATTTTTTCTCACCTCCATCACTTTTTGAAAGCCCCTTCCAAGCCTCCCTCCAGCGGAGAACAGGACAAACCAGGGCAGGACCAGAGGAGGAGGAGTAAGGAGAGCTCGAGAAGGTGGGGAAACAGCGGGTGGAAGGGGAGGGAGGAGGGCAAAGTGCCGTTTCTATGAAGTTTCAGCCAGGAGAAACAGCTGCCCCTAAGGCCCTTTGTGAGACCTGAGGTGGTGGGGTGGGGGTGGGGGTTGGGGGGCGGGGAGCTCCTGACAATAGGCCACACATTTTGCACGGTTGTGCACCCTGCTGGTCTCCTCTGAAGATTTCTTCTTAAAAGTGCCGTTGCCCAGCAGCCCTTTTGGGCAACCACATGCCACTCCCAAGCCACAGCTGATTGGTCCAGAACTGGCAGAGTGCAGCCAATCAGCCCTTTCCTTGGAATCCTGACTCACGTAAATCTGGAGGGAAAGAGCTAGAGAAGAGTGGGTGTGGGGGAGGCAGGGGAGGGGAGTTCTGCACTGTTTGTCTGCAGTTCTAGTCCCTCTTTCAAACTTGGCCGCCTTAGACCCCACAACACGCCTCAGTATCAGCATAAATTCTGCCCCAGGCTGAGGCAGCCAGAGAGGGCTCCTGGCAGCAGAGTCCTAACCCACACAAGAGATTCGAAGGCAGTTTGTGCAATCAATTCTGTTACCCGTGGGAAAGTGAAGTAGGAGAGGGGCTGGTGCGTCAGGGGTGACTGGGTACCAGAGGGCAGGGTGTGGGTCAGGTCGGGACAGCAGCCTCTTGGGACTGGCCAGTGCTGGAGTCCCTGGGTTAGAATCTATCTGAGGTGCTCTAGCGGGCCTGTTAGGAATGATGCTCAAGGCAGACCTGCACTCCCCCCCCAGGAGGAGTACAAGTGCTAGTACCCCGCCCCATCTCTCAACTGTCCAATAGCCCCACTCGCCTAACACCCTCACTTCCCTAGGCACCTTTGCACATTGTGCCCAGGCAAACAAGCATAGCCCTGCATTGCTGTATGCCCAAAGACTCCCTCATTCCTTCATAAATTCATTCATTCATTTATCAAATACCATGCTGGAGATGTTGTGCTGGGTTTTCTGTTTACTCCTCCCCCCCGAGCTCCACAGATGGCATCACCCAGCCTTCTTGCCTATGACTCCCAGCTGGATCAAGCTAATGGGAGCAACTGGGAGAGGGATCAGAGGGCAGGAGGAGTTTTACTTTTGTTGTTCCCTCCCAGCTCCAGCATGTGTGGCAGCCAGCCTCCAAGACAGCCCTCATAACCCTGGACTCCTACTTGTGCCCTCATGTAGCTTTTTTCTGTGCTGTCTCAGATATGAGAGGCCCCCGTGGCAAGGAACTGAGGCCTCCTGCCCACAACCATGGATGTGCCATCCAGGGGGTGGGACTGCCAACCCCTGTCATGCCCTCAGGTATTTAGCCTTGGCCATTGTCTCAAGAGATGCTAAGCTAGAACTACCCGGCTAAGCTGCTGCAGAATTCCTGACCTACAGAGACTACATAGCAATAGAAAACACAACACGATTCTGGAGGAGGCATTCTCAGCCTGGCTTCAACCTCAACACAGCTGCCACCCTCCGCTCCTTCCATGGTAATGACTTCCTGACGTTAGTCTCTGGGGCCTCAGGGTCCCCTGTTCATTTTGTTTATCCCGCCACAATGTTTAATAAATGCTCTGAAAAATTCACAATGGAAAGGGTCTCCTGCTTCCTGCCAGGGCTCTGCTTGCTGTAGGATGTAACTGTGAATGAGACAGGTGCTGCCTCTTGCCCCCGTGCAGTTTATTTTCTAGTGGTGAAAGCAGACAATATGTTAGTCAACAAAAAAAGAAGATAATTTGGGAGGCTGGTGAGTGAAATGAAACAAACAGAGCATGAGAGAGGGAGGCTTGATCGGGAGACCAGTAGGAGGTAGGCTGGTCAAAGAAGGCCTCTGAGAGATGACTGTCGGGCTGAGTCTGGGGAAGAGAAACCTCAGACAAAGGCGGCAGGTGTGGTCAGGGCGGCATCACCTGGATGCTCCAGGAACAGAGAAGAGGCCCATGTGGCTGGAGCAGCCGGCAGGGTGGAGAGTGGGACAGATGAGACAGGAGATTCTGGCAGGGCCAAGTAAGGAGTTTGGGTTTTATTTGAATTACAACGCAAGGCTGTGTGTAAGGTTTTTGGCAAGATATTTTTTAAGGTATGTATTTGATCCAATTTACCTGTGCAGATGGCTCCCTGGCTGCTCCCAGAGTACACAGAGGCAGCCCAAGGTCCAGCTGGAGGCTACTGCAGTAGCCCTGGGGAAGAGTACGTGGCTGAGACTGGCCAGGCCCCTGGGCCTCCAGCAGAGCTAACTTCGCTCTGGCTGCTTTGGAACTCTGGCTCAGAGGTCAGCTTGGTTATTTTCAAGCCTCTGAGCCCACAAGGGCCAGGGCCCGAGCCCGGGGCCATGTCTTACTTTGCCACCATGTCCCAGAACTGAACCTGCTTGGCGCCTGGTCAGTGCTCACTGATTAGTTATACCTCAACTTCTGTGCAAGGGGTGCTTAGCTGTGCCAGGCATGGGCCAACACTTCTCGAGAACCATCTCCCTGAATTCTCTGAACACCCCTGCAGGAATGAGTTTTGTGCCCACCTTAGTTGAGAAAAACGAGGTTCAGCAAATTATGTGATCTGAGAAAGGTTGCACCCATGCAATGGATTGAATGTTTATGTGCCCCTGCAATTCATATGTTGAACCCCAATTCCAATATGATGGTGTTTGGGGACAGGTCTTTGGGAGTTATCAGGATAAGCTGAGGTCATGAGGGTTGTAAGAGGCCAAAGTATTAGCTCCCTTTCTTCCCACCACGTGAAGACACAGGGGGAAGGCAGCTGTCTACAAACTGGGAGGAGGGTTCCCACTCGGAACCTGGCCATGCTGACACCTTGATCTTGGACTTCTAGCTTCCAGAACTGAGAAATAAATTTCTGTTCTTTAAAAGCCGCCAGTCAATGGTAATTTGTTACAGCAGCCTGAGCTAAGACAACCCAGGTACAGCCCCTTTTGTCCCCATCCAGATGAAGGGACAGACTGCAATGCAGGACCCTTGGCCTCTTGTCCTCGTCGTTAGCCCAGTCCTGTGTCCTGGGGTCTGACTTGAGCAGTTAACCACCTGCAGCCCTCCCTGTGTGCAGGGAGGCACATGCTCAGCTGCCCCCACACAGCGCCCTGCCCCCCGGGACTGGCTGCAGCCCTGGGGGCCCCAGCTGAGCCCTGATAGCACAGAGACCCAGCCCCTGAACACAGGCCCCACTCCCTGCTGGGGTTCTCACCTGCGTGTGGCCTTTCTCAGATTACTTCATTCCCTGAACTCTATCTTCCTCAACTCTAAAATGGGCATAAAGGACACTTCTCTCCTACTAGCTGCTCTGAGTGGCCCAGCACAGCCTGCCCCCTTTTTTACCTCTGGGTAACTACCTCCATGCTTTAGAAAAGGCAGGGGTCTGACACCTGCAAGGCCTCCTTCAGCCCCGGTCTCCTCCTCCTCCTCCCCAGGCTGAGCCAGATATAACCCCCAGGAGCAGAGAGGGTGGTCCAGCCCTAGTTGGCTCCCTGCGGCTCCTGGCACCAGCTCCTCTTCCCTAGGCCGTGAGGTTCCCGGTCCACCAAACCTCACCTGTTGGCCTTTTCTTACCTGCGCATATCTGAGCCCAGCATTCCTGCCTCCTGCTGCATCCTGCCACCACCCCACCCCACCACACCAGCCCCCAACCTGTTCCCAGCCCTCCACAGTTACCCTCGCCTCTGAGTCTTGGCATCAGACAGCCCCGAAGGCCAGAGAGGAGCCCTAGACAAAACCCCAGATGGAGGGTCGGCCCAAGGCAAGGTTCCAGGCCTCTGGTAACCACGTTCGAGCCTGCACCCAGGCTACTTGATGGTGGTTTTGGAACCACCACCTCGCTCTTATCTCAGATCCTTCTCTGAAAGGGGAGGTGTCCCTCTGGCACTCAGACCTGGTCTGCCTTCCCGCCCCACCACAACTTCTTGAGGCAGCACTTCTTTTGGAAGCTGCTGGAAATTAAGGGATGAAAGAGAAGGAACCAAAACAACATAGAGAAATGCCCGAGCATGGAGCTGCCTCAGCCTGGCCCTCCTCTTTCCTGCCAGTGTCTAAGTAGGCAGGTCTGGGTGAGCCCGCCTGGGACCCAGCAAGGCCTGTGGCCCAGCAGCCGGGCAGAAGGGGCAGAGCAGTGCCTGCAGAGCCTGGAGAACCTTGGAGCTTCCCCTGCTCAACTACCAAAGCCAGACAGGAAGTGGATGTGGGTCAACTGCGGGGTGGGGGAGAAGTGGGGGGAGGAGTGTGTAAAATGACAGCCTCAGAGACAAGACAACTGGAGGTGGTGGGGACTGAGGCAAATTGGAGAGCACCGTGCAGGGCCACTGCTGGATTTACATGGCACCTTTGTGCAAACAAGAAAAAGCTTCTCTCTTGGTAGACAGCCTTACACCAGTGCCCATGGCTTGCTGGGCAGAGAGAGGGCTGGATTAGAGCTGTCTCCTATCTCCCCTAACCCCTGCCACCTCTGTGTTTGCACATCTTTGTGCAGGGCACAACCTACACAACTGTACCTGATGGCCCTGGCACCGCATAACAGGGGTGGCCACTCAGTTCCAGCCCTGTAGAAATGAAGGCTTCCGGTTGCTGGAGCTCCCCATTTTTCAAGGGCAACTGAATATAGGGATTGTGTGACATATTCTGATCATTAAATGTTGGCAATAAATCTAGATTTAAAACACTTGCAGGCCAAACAAAACCTGTCCTGATGGTGCCAGTGTGCAGCCTCCGTCATGGATGCTGGGCCAGGGGACAGATGGGCACCTCAGGCTCACCCTTCTGGTGCCTGCAAGTGAGGCCCATTTCCTTGGATCTGGACACTGAGCTGCTCTGCCCGGAAAGGCGCCCACCTCACACCCCAGACCTGGCAAGCTTAGACCGCGCCACCCTACCGGCTTGGGGCAATGGATGTAGCGAGCCAGGCTGATGATGAGGTCATGGGTGATGGGGTCCACCAGGTTCCGGAAGCTGGCATAGCGGTACAGAACGTCGTCCAGCGAGGTGGACTCCATGCCCAGGTCCTGTAAGAATGAGGGGGCCCAGAGGTTAGGGAGGTCCTGCCCTACCTTCCAGTCCCACCCAAATGCCCAGAGCAGCCCCTGGAGGCAGTTCAGCCACCCCCAGAGCAGAGCTCTGGCAAGGGAGGAAAGGAGGAGATCACCTCCAAGTGGGTTCTGAACCTTCAGGAAGCATCTGTAGAGCTCCTTCCCCGACCCCTGCCCTGCCGGGAACCAGGCAAGCTCCTGAAGAGCTGGCCGGCCTAGTTCAGGTCCCCCTCCCAGGACAGTCCCCAGCTACCACCTCTCAGGTTCCCCAGGAGGGAGCCAAGGGTTGCTGGCCAGGTGGTCAGGTGCGGGCATGCGGCTGTTTCTTCATCTAGGATGTACTTTGAAAATGGCACACGTAACAAATTCCCCAGCCTTGTGACAAGTATCAATATGCATTGATACTTGTTTTTATCTTGTTCCTGAGGTCGTTTTTACTGCTTCTTGGGCAGGAGACCCAACCTCAGTGTTCCTTTGCCTTGGGAGGGGAGCAGTTTATGAGTTGTGGGTTTGAAGAAAGAAGCTGCCACGTGCCTGGGGTATCAAGTGGGTCCGCCTAATGGGAGGGGTGGGAGCAGTGGCAGAAACCACAGGGACAGAGGTTCCCCATGCCTGCAGAGAGACAAGGATTTGGGAGGTCCCACACACCGAGAGCCTCATCTGGGAGCCTCTGCAGAGACCCCTGGCCACCAGCAGTGATCACTGTGGGTTAGCACCCAATGACCCTGCTCCAAATGCTCGGGATTACGGAAGACCCCGCCATTCTCGCACAACCCCAGGTAAAAGACAGACCCTCCAAATATGACTAAGTTTGAATGTCCCACCAGTCAAGGTGGTGGGAGCTGGAAATGGAGTTGACTGCTTTAGAGAAGTAAAGAAACATGGTCTTCTACCCTAGAGTGTTGGAGGCGCTTGCTGCGCTCCCTGTGTGAAAGAGCGTGCGTGTACCTTCTGCCTTTCCTCCAATGCGTCTCCCCAGTTTCTGTTATCCTTGGGAGGGAGCCCTGGTTTTTGCTCCTAGCTCGGTACTTTGCACAAACCAGGCTTACACCCAGAGACTCCCCCCACCCCACCCTGAGGACCAAGGGGTCACTGAGGAGGGACAGAGAAAGGAGGACCACCCACTTTTGCTGCCTTCAGCCCAAGCCCCCCAGGCCCCCAAGCCACACATGGAGCTGCCCCAGCACAGCCCAGAGAAGGCTCCCAGCCTGGGCTGTCAGTGACCAGGGACAGGAAGTGTATGGGTGAGTTCCAGCAGGGGTTTTCTGTCATTTCAGTGGGAAAACCTGAACCTTTCTAAATGCCTTCCCTATGTGATTCTTAGAAATCCCTGAAAGAAAAGTGGGCTGGCCCTCATCATTCCCAACTTACAGATGAAGAAACTGAGGCCCAGAGGGGATGACTTCTTCAGCTGTCTGAAAATTCTAGGACTGACTACAATTAATACTGCTGTACAGTACATTTGAAAGTTAGTAAGAGATTAGGTCCTTGTTAAAAAAAAAGAGAGAGAGAGAGAGAGAAACAACAGGCCAAAATGAACTCACTTTCACTAAGGTACAATAGCAAACAAAGCCTTAATAACTAACCTAGCTGCACTTCCAGCTTCTCCCAGGAGTGGAATTTTAAACCACTCAGTCTAGAATTTTCCATCAGCATTAGTGAGGTGACCTGCTTGATAAGACCCTCTGCCTTTCCCTGAAGAAAGGAAAACTTACTTGAAATGATTCACTGTTTAAAATTCTTTCAATTATTATTTATTGATTGATTTTTGGGGGGGAGAGAGAAATCAGTTTGTTGTTCCAGTTATTGATGCATTCATTGGTTGATTCTTATGTGTGCCCTGACTGGGGACTGAACCCATGACCTTGGCATATCAGAATGACACTCCAACTGACTGAGCTACCCAACCATGGCTAATTCATTCTTAAAAGGAAAAAAACCCAGATTTTATTTACTTATTTTGAGAGAGAGGGGAAAGGATGGAGAAAGAGAGGGAGGGAAACTCCCTCAGTTGGTTGCCCCCATACACGTCCTGACTGGGGACCAAACCTGCAGCCCAGGCATGTGTCCTGACCTGGAATAAAACCAGCAACTCTTAACTTCATAGGGCCTCTCTTTCTGTCTATAAAAACCTTCTGTTGTGACTCATCGAAGCACCTTTCTATCTACTAAATGGGATACTGCCCCATTTATGAATCGTTTAATAAAATTTACTCAGTTGAAGTTTGTTCTCCAACATCTTAAAAAGTTCTCATTACAAGCAAAACAAAACAAAACATATTTTCCTCCCTTTTTTCCAGCTATCCGAGGTGATAGCTGCTAACTAAATTTATCGTGATAATCACTTACAACACATGTAAGCCCAGTCATTATGCTGTATACCTGAAAATTTACAGTGTTGTACCTCACATCTCAATAACACTGAAAAAAATCACAGGTAATAAATATGCTAGAAAAATGATGTTCAGGAATGGTGGGGGTGGGAGGCCTACATGCAGCCGCGGGCCTGTTTTGAAGGACTGCCCTGCTTTTTCTACCCCTGGTAAGGGGGCGCTGGGGAGGAGATAGGATGGAGGGTGGAAGTGCTGTTCCGTAGCTTGGTGGTGGACATTTCTAAGAGCAGAGAAGGAAAGGGTTTGTGGCTGATGGATCTGTCTTTTTGAGCCTTGCTGAGCCAAGCAAGCTCTAGCCAGGTCCTGCCTGTGAAGGTCAGGGGCACTCTCCTCCTTCCTCTTTGTTAGAAAGGGATGGGACACCAGGGGCCAGTCTGGGGGGCTCTGTTTTACATTCAGCAAGAATAACCTCAGAGGACAGCTGCCTTGCCCTTCGCCAGGTTCTCTGGCTGCTGAAATAATTTCCTGGCAACCCTGATCCCCGTGCACGGATGCAGGCGGAGGGAGGTTCAGCTTGCCTGTCTCAGTGGTCTAAGAGCTGAGGGCCAAGTGCAGCACTGCCTTGTACCTGTGCCTCTGTCCTGTCCAGTCTCTCAGTCAGGCTGCATCCTGGGCCAGCTCCCTAATGGCAGGGAGCCTCTGAGTTTTCTCATTGGTAAAATGGGGACAGTGATCTGGCGTCACAAGTATGTGAGGGAAATAAAACCAAGTAACACATGTGCAGCCTCCCACAGGGAAGAGAATTACTAACGTAGCCACTCCTTCCTTTCCCTTAGGAAGCCCCTCCTCCCATCACGTAGTGCTTCTGAACCTCTTTGGGTCCACAGGCCCACTTGAGAATGTCACAAGCCATGAACTGTCTCTCTAGAAAAACCTGAGAGTCAGGACAGGGAGCTTGCTGCACACGAGCCATCCAGGCCCCCTGGTCAGCGAGGAGGTGGAGACTCCCGACCTCAGGACGCAAACTTACCCGGAAGTGTGCAGAACATCGGACCCACCCTCTCTGGGGCAGGAGGAGGCTGGGGACATAGGGAGGGGGAGTCCAAGGGTTTGTGTTCTTGGGTGGAGGACAGGCCCATGTTTCAAAGGCCGGGCTGCCCTTCCCTGGGGCAGGCAAATGGGGTGGAGAGCAGAGTCTGGGGTGGAAATGGTGGGATGGCTGTACTCATGGTCAGAGGCTGGATTTGTGGACCCAGGAGTTGGCCAGAAGATGAGTATATCTTTCCTTTCCTGTCTGTCATGTAGGCTGGGCACCCCGCTCCAGGTGGGAGGTGATGCCGGCCTCTGCGCTCCTGCGCTTTGCCCATGACTCCTCTCCTTGGCGTGTACCCCTGCCCAGGATGCACACCTGGAGGTCCCTTTTTACAGTCATCCCTGAACCCTGTCTCTGAATGTCCCTGGGAGAAAGCACTGAGTTCTAGGTGCTGCCCAGCCCTCAAGTCCTCCTCTGTGAAATGGGCACAGTTACCAAACTGTGTCCCAAAGTCTGGCGATGAGAGGTCAGAAGAATCTGCAGCGCTGCAGGAGGCCAGACTCCCTGCAGAAAAGCTCTGCTGGCTGCCCCTTCCTGTACACACACACACACACACACACACACACACACAGAGCAATCTCTGGGCCGGAGCACTGTTGGGTATACTGGGTTCCTACTGCCCCATCTTCCCATTTGCTTTTCTTTCCAGGCCAGTGGAGGTTGTCTCACCCTGGAAGGACTGAGGAGACCCTAGCTGCTAACCCAGGAGGCCCAGACAGTTCTGGGAAGGTGCAAAATGTCCTACCCCAGGGGCCCCTGATTCCTTGTCTCCCCACCACGCTGGGTGACCAGCTGCTCTCAGTGGCTCTACCTCTCCAAGCTGCTGCCACCTAGGTTCATCTAGTCCTTGCTTGGGAAGGAGCAGGGATTGGAAATGGAGGAAGGAAGTGGGGAGGAGGTTCTCCCCAGGAGGGCAGAGGTAGCACTGCTCACTGTGCGACTGAGTCACTGCCACCGCCCTCCCAGGGTACTCCAACTGGGGTGGGGCTCCTGGAGGCCCCAGGGCTCTGGGTTATAAGAAGCTGCATCAGGGAAAATGAGATGGGACCGGACAAAGCCGGCTGCACATTTTATTGCTTTATTTCTTTACTTTGACCCTGACATAGGCTCACTGATGGCTCCTGCTGCTTTGGGATGCTCCATGTGTTCTGGGGACCTTGGGCCACTCTGGACTTCTCCTTGTCCTTTCCATGCACTGCCCCCGCCCCGCACCACCCCCAGGCCAGTTCACGGGGATGACTGTGTCACAGCTTTGCACTGATGGTGTTGCTGATGCCTGCTCCACTCCATCTGAAGGGTACCCACTGTGTGCCCGGGCGAGGGGCGTGCAAAAACCAAATCCTCACGTGGCCCCTCCATACCACCCTGCAAACAGCCTTGGCCTTGGAGGGGCTGGTCTGCTTTGCAAACATGACGCAGCAAGGATAATACTAGCTTCCTCGTGACGGGTCTGAACGGCACTACCTCTAGGAACCGTGCATACGGATGGTTCCTCAGCGGAAAACCTGGGGGTATAAGCAGGTGTGCCCGAGTCACTGCTCGGCTTGGAC